ATAGGCCTCCAATCTTCTGCTTCTCCGGTCATTTCAAAAGATCATACTACGTAGTATATATCTATCTAACCTGGAATAGGAAAAAAGAATGGTTTGATAATGAACAGTCTTCCGCTATTATAGAAAAAAGCAAGCAAGTGCGCAGTTGGGATCATTAGCAGATGTCGCGTATCAAAACGGAACGCGTCCAGCAAACTACTCCGATCGCATTTTAAGTATCATCCAATTCCATTAGCTCAAATAATAGTGCATATGATGTAACGAGCAGTACAAAGAGGAGAAATTACGTTTGCCTTCACGAGCACCTCTCCGATACAGTCAGTCTCCCCAAATGGATATCCTTAAGTCTCTAACCAAAGACTCTCAACAATATGCATAACACTGACAAATTGGAAGGCACGTGTATTTGCATAGCACGGGTGATCTCTGTTGCATTGCGTCTACCTAAGGCAACTAAACAGATCCGGCCAACCGTGAAATGCCGTCCGGGTCAGGCAAGAAAAGCCGCTAGGATTGGGAGTAGGGCAGGCAGGAGAGTGCAGTCAAGACTTGGGCAGCTATGTATAGCTACGGGCAGGGCTATCCCGCTAACAGGAATATATCATGCGGAGTACGACAAATTCATTACTTTTTCCCTTGTTTGTGCATATCTGATGGAGCTCAGACTTTAAACTTTTCTGTAAATTCTTGGACTCTCAGGGAAGCATCTCCTTTGACTTCCTTCCGCCGCCACTTATATTCTAGAGCACTATATCCCAAGCTTTATATTCTTCACTGGACTGAAAAGTTCATGACGACCAAATCATAGTGATCCCATGTGATGCGACCGCTTGTGGGAAGGATCGACATGGAGAAGGGGAGAGGAAGGGGGAGGGACGAGGCTGGAGGTTGCAGAGAGCGAAGAGGTATTCTTTGAAAATACAGTAAAATGGATGCAATGTACGAGAGGATGTTGCTTGGAATTGTGTCGAACGGGTGCAAGTATGGAGGGTGGGGACACTCTGTTGAAGAAGAGGACGTATGGTTGGGACTAGGTGTTGAATGCAAGGTTGATTTGGCTTTTGCACTTTAAAAAGTCCCACAAGTTAAAACACCTAGAAAAGAAATGCGATGAAACTGAAGTGCCTAATTAGAGAGACTTGCTTCCTTGTCCTTTTAAAATGCCGTTCTCTCTCCGTCTGTTTCTCGACAGATAATGGATTTGCATTTTTCCTTCTAACCGGTCTATTAAATTAACCAGCACATGAAAACTGCTAAGAAACAATGTATCTAACAAAACATTGTTATTTATTCAGCGTTTTGTGAAAAATAAGTAGAAGAGAAATGGAATGAATATATTTGAACATATTATGCCTGTAGGGACAAATAAGCTGTTGTTATCCTAACCAAAATTTTAGATTTCTAAAGAATCCTGGTATTGCTCCAATAACTGTTTCGCATCAGGAAATAACCGAAAAACTTCTAAAGTTACAAAGGATAAAATTATGGTGATGAAGAAATATGAGGTTCCTGGATCTCTCGCATAGAAGTTTTTGAAGGAGTTAGACGTTTTGTATTTTGAGATGGTACAGAACGAATATTTTACTCTTAGTGTAAGCCTTGCTATTCAGGATACAGTCAGTTTTCCAATCATTATTTCATCGTAGTCAATTTAACAGTCAGAACAAAACTGTTTAGACAAAATGCAGAAATATGAGATTGTTTCTTCAAATATCTTAAAACCAAAATAACTTTTAAAATTTTGAACAAAAGTAAGCGACTTATGTCTCGAATAGATCAAAGGGCTCGGATTTCGGGTCTTGTCTTTAAATTCAGTTTAAACGCTACCATTCCAAAAAACAAGTCACGCTACTTGCTTTCCCTGCAGAGAGGTACCTGTGGACGTGGTGCTTCAATCTGCGTAATTTATCGCTTTATTATTGTATGTGAACTTCTATTATAGAGATCCGTCATAGATTCTTTTCTGTAATGTTTGTATTCTTAATCTGATTCTAAATTACAGTAAATAAATGTTGAAATTTTCTCACCGACAAATTACTCTGAATTTCCTGCATAACAAATTCCTTTTCGATATCCGATGTCATTTTCACATGTAAAAAGTGCTGATTGAGATTGAGAAGTAAAATAAAAAAAGTTTATTAAGTGCTTGTGCAATATACGAACATCTGAATTAGAGTAGTGCGTATTTGTATAAAAATAATGATGGACTTCCTCTATAACATATTTTCATGTTAACATAGAACTCAAGTGCTTAAATGAATTTCGTCATTATTCACAATACTAGTCGGAAACCAAGCTTATCGTCGATGTCTATCTTTAATGCTGATTTCAATCATTTAAGGGTTTTTAATTCCACTTAAAAATTTGCTTGAAACTTTCAAAGCAAATGAAACAAAAATACAAGTTTTATTCACTTTTCCTATTGTTCCTCCTGTTTTGCTCTTAAAATACATATTCCATTTTATATATTGTCATGAAATGTTACACAAATCAAATATTTATTTCATAATAAATCAGTCAGTCATTTCTCGTAAATGCATGAAAGTGTCCTAATTTTGAAAATCATTTATGCATTATATTGAAAGTTCTGGAAGATTATTTATGCATGCTCGTTCATTTCACTAATATTAATAATAACTTTAAAATTTTGAAGTACTAAAATTAATGTCGTTCATTTCAAAATTTTTCTTATTTTACACTTTGGAATGATTTTATCTTAATTCACTTTTCTTTATGCTTCAAAATTTAAAACATGAAAAAATTTTAAATAAATTAAATGCCAGGTATTTTTCGTGTTATTTATTTGTGTATTTCATTTCCTATTATTTCATTTGTCGTTCTTTCAATCTTCCGTTTTTACTTTATTTAAAAAAACGAGGAATGAAAGTGAATACAAAAACGAAATCATCCATGTCTTCTCATATTTTGAACTATTTTTGAAAATCCGGACTTTTTTCTTCTTGAATTATCGACTCAATACCACTGTTAGAATATGTGATAATATACAATGATGCGAAACGGTATGCTAATCTTCGTCTTATTTTCGTTTTCTGTAACATTTATTTCATTTAACGAAAATGAAAAGGGATGTTATAATTACCGAATGGAGGACGGACACTGTAGAGTGGGTTGTGGGCAGAATAGTTAAATATCATGTACCAAATCAATCAATTTAGCTCAACTTTGTTAGTGAAATGCTGTCAAATTGTTAAATTGAGCATAAAATTGCGACTAACTGTCAAATTTCTTTTCTTATTCAGATTTTTAAAACATTTAAATGATTGAGGATAAAATGAATTATATGAACGCATACTCTTATCTGGATTACTTTCTGTCCGGAATAAAAAAAAGAATAAGAGAATATGTGGTCTTTGTCAAACAAGGCAGCTTACGACTGCTTCTTCTTTCTTAAGAGCGTCATACCTGATGGCATACATGAATCTATTTTGTAGAAGCGGTAAAAAACGACTCATCTAAGTCATTAGGAATCTATTCACAACATGATGATACAAATAGGAGAAATGAGCCACTGTCGTACAGCAAGCTTTGCAGAAGATATTTGGTTGATACCGAACTGCGTATAGTTGGAAGCGGCGGTTTCATCTCTGTCATCGATGAAAACTAGTAGAAGATCAGCGGTAGTAGAAAAGATCCCAAATAGATTATAAACATAGCTAATGTTTATGGGCCGTAAAAAGTATTTTAAGAAGCTCATATAAATGATAGCTGAGAATGAGCGATTATATTGTTTTTGCACAACAATTCATTAATGCTTTTGTAACACTGAACTTTTGCAATACTGAGAGTAATATTGAGCGCAATTGACTGAAAATAAGTGCAAAACAGAGCCAAGGAAGGAAACTAACCGAATAGATCCAAATCAGACTTTCTCAGATGCCCCTGTTCTATTTCATTTTTCATTCGTTGTGATTAATCGAATTGTTCAGATGTCGATGCATCAATCTTTGCATTATAAATCATTATCATTGCTTATTCATATTGCCGAGGACATGCAAAAAAGATGTATGAGACACACGCTCCCTGCAAATGTAAGAGTTAAGTAATAAGATGAAATTTGTAATTGCATTTTTTATCATCAGGTTTATCATTCATTTTATTTTGCATCTTTTTTATTCCAGTGAATCTTATACTCTAAATTTCACTACTCCTTTTCTTTATTACACAGATAATTGTAGACGATTAAGTAAATTTTTTTGTTTTAAAATGAAGCATTGAATAGGTATAACAGGCGTGTAAATTATATTATTTCAAGCAATTAATTAATCACTTTTTTATTGGACCTTTAACACAATTTCATAATAAATCATTCTGATAAATCATCTTTTCATGCAACGGTTACTTTTTGAGCATTTACGCTAACACTAGTTGTGAAAAAATTTTTGAGCCGTCCAAAAACGGCTCAAAATCAATGTCAAAGCTTTGAAGAGAAAATAGACGCAATATTGAAGTCTCGATTATAGCTATTAAGAAACAATTAAAACTTCGTTACATGCTACATATCTCGTTCATCATCATCATCATATATAGATTTGACAAATAGAAAAAATATCTTCGACTCATGGTACGGTAGAAGAAATATCAATAAATTCTTGATAATTGTCCAGATGGTATTGCATAAAACTTCTCTTCATCATGTGATGGATGCAAATGATCAAGATTTTTATAAAAATGTGCCTTGTATTCTTGAAATCAAACGTTAAGGAGTTATTGATTAATTAAAGAATAATGTATTCGTCTTTTTCGCTCTCAATTTGCACTGATATAATGATTGGAATTAGTACTATTCTTCTTTTATCTTTATAATCTTCTAGTTTTCAAAGATTTTTAAATTAATCCTCAGTGCAGATAATTTTCACGCAACTGCATAATTTGTATTATTTCTTGCATAAACTTAATTGACATAATTTTACAGGTATCTTTACAGTATGGCATTGAACTGATTTTTTAGCCGAGAAATAAGAAATAAGACTTTACAAACTATGCTACCAGCAAAAATCGCTATTGTTGCTTTTTTTTTACAACTAACTGCAAGTATGTTTAAGCAAATATATTATCTTATTCAAATTTATGAAAACAGATGAAGAATTTTACTTGGTAAATATATATATATATATATATATATATATATATATATATATATATAATCGCAACTTTCCTATTAATCTCATAACTTTACATTATATATTAAATATTCTTCTGAGCTCAAAAAATTACAAAATAGACTTGAGAAGATGAGCGTGGTAGCCCGGCGCTTTTAGTTGAATTCTCCTCTGCGCTTCTAATCATGCGATTGCAGCAATAAAGGAAATAAAAAACTTTGACAACGTTCGAGGGGACACCAATTCATGAGCTTATTTTCTCCACGTTCATTTAATCTTCAAAGTTTCAATCCGTTTTTTGCAAGATAGGATTGTTAATCCTTTGCGCATATATCCTTTAGTTGGACAAAGAAAACAAAAAACAGTTCACCTGTCAGAAACGTGTCGAAGCAAATCTTGAATAAACGATATGCTGGCATGATAAGGATCTCGTTTTACTCCAAATTCTTTCTTTCTTTTTTGTTGCTGCTTTTTGTAACTATTAATTAAATTAAAAGAATGCTGAAATACTACATAATGTTGAGTGCATTAATATTTCATATTGTGTTCCAAAAAATTGAACTTTTTTAAACTCAAAAACGAATTAAACAACTCGAACAAAATAGGATTCGACACTTATTATCTCTAAGGAACCAGTAACTACTGCTTGGCCTTAAACAACAGTTTATTCTGAAAAATAACTTTTTAAGAAACATCAAGTTTTTATATTTGAAATATTTGCAGCATTACAAGTAATCTCAAATTATTTACCACCACAGTTGAAACTAGTGCGTGATATGTTAGAAACATATGATAAGAAGTCGAGACCTGTGTGGGATCATAGCAGATCCATTAATGTGACATTTAGCATGGATCTCTATCAAATACTACAAGTGGTTTGTTGCACCTTATTTCGTCACTAGATATCATGTTTCTTATCCGCCTCTAATTCTGCTTGTATATTGAATTTTCGAGATAATTTATTGAATTAATATAATGTAAAAGTATGACAGTTATTTAAAAAATCTTCAAAAAAAGATTTTTATAATAAGATATTAATTACTTCAATTAATAAGACACGAAACTGGCAGAATAAGGCACCATATAGTTTATTTTGCTGGCGAAAGTAAAACAATATACAAAATTTTTTAGGATGAGCCACAGCAATATGTTTTACTCAATGCTTGGATAATTGAGGTTAGTTTTTATCTAGTATTCTTTTTAATTCTGTGAATTTTGAAATTTTCAACATTTTCAAAAAAAAGCTATCAAATTTTCAAAATTTACTATTTTTAGAACAGAAAAGTATTAACATACAAAAAGCAAATCATTTCTGGAATGGCTTTTGAAAATCTTGCCAAAAAAGATTTTTGATTACTGCGCAACCACATTCATTTTTGTAAATTTAGGCAAAATTTTGTTTTTTTTTTTTTTTTTTTTGTCGTTCTATTAGTAATGAATGGTGTTCTGGCTTCCATACTTATTGAATAGCTTTGCTTTTTTTAATACCAATTAAGTCATCTTATTACTTTCAAAAACTACCTGATGTGAATGGATAATTAATTGTCCTTTCTTGTGGGTAAAATCTTTCAACTACTCTCATTGACACCTATTGCTAGTGAGATGTTCCTAATTTCTTTTTTCCTCATAGTTTTTTACAAAAGTGCAAGAAGCGATGTCATTGCTAAACGATTAGCTGATAAGAGTTCCATCTAAAATGAAAATTTTTGTTAAACTCTAATCATTTCTTTTGTAACATTTAATTACAGAATATTTACAGCTTAGTAGCAACTGTGTCATTTTTATTAATTAAAATTGGTGATTATAAGTTAGTAGTCTGATTATAAGTCTGGATAATTATCATCTTGAACTTAGCTTTTATTTGATTAAGGAAATTTTACATCTTCGCAAAGCTTCGAATTTTTGCAATTAACTGAATTATCTTACATTATATGTGTTCAAGCTGATGTTAATAAAGAAGTGAAAGCAAAATATTTTTACTGCAAATTATAAATTTAAACAGTTCCAAATAGTAAGTTTATTCCTGACTTTTAATACAACAACTTCTAATGCCATCGCAGAGCTTTCGAATTTATTAATTGAAGCAAATGAATTTTGAATCTTCATTTTGATGAATTACTAAATGAGTTAATGGATTTTCTATTAAATAAGTTTCCATTTTTTAAATGAAATAAAATAAAAAATTGAAAAGCATTTTTTTAAGTGAAATAAAATAGAAAATTCAAAAGCTCTTAAAAGCAGAAACTGAATTTTTGTACTTAATTTGCCCATCAGAAAAAGGTTCTATCAAATTCTAAATATTTATAAAATTTATAGCGATGGTACGATGAATTTTTGTACTGGCGTCCAGAGGATTATGATAATATTACAGAAATTCATTTACCGCATAGTTCGATTTGGTTACCCGACACAACACTATATAATTCGTCTGTTCATTTTATTTATTTTAATGTTTATGGTAAAAGGACTATTTTGAGATTTTCTAAATATAGCTGCTAGAGAGAATCATAAGTTCCGCAATTGAAGTCTCAGCGAGATAACAGATATTATGTATTAGTTAGATTTATCAATATAGGATCATATAATTTTCAATCAACTTAGGCTAATAATGAAAGATGATGATACGAGGCGGTTGTTGAATGTGAAACTTACCGCCGATGAAAATATTCGCGCTGCATATATCGAACTTCTCTATCCAACCATTTACAAATTCTCATGTCTATTGAACCTTCGTTTCTTTCCATTCGATATTCAGGGAAGTATTTTATAGAAAAGTAAAAAACTATCTGCCTCCTCTATCTTCTAAACAAATCTCAAAATGATAGAACAGAAAATAGCTATTCGCTGTAACTATTTGTTATAAGTGTCGTCAAGAAATCTTCATGTTATTGAAATATGATAGCATGTGCGATGCGATTTATTTATACTTAACTAATAATATTTAGAAGCCATAGAAATTATTCGAACGGATCATAATTTCAGAATCAAAGACAAATTTAAATTCAGTATGAGATTCGATGAGTTATTTCTTAAGTTGTTTCTGCTTAGTTTGATAAATGCATTCTAAAATTATTTAATAATTAAATTACTTCGGAAACAATTAAATCTTGAAGAGGACAATTTTACAATACATTTTTTTTCAGTAATCCAGTAATTAAAGTGACTTTATTTCCTCTGATACTAGTTTCAATTTTGCTGACTCATGTATTAATAATTAATTTTAGGTCTGTTCGATGATATTTTCAAGCTGGACATTTGATCAGAAAGGCATTGATTATTTTGCATATTCAGACATTGTTGGTACAACAAATTACATCGAGAACGAGGGTTGGCATATTCTCAGAACAGCAGGTTCAACGCTCGCATTTCTGGTTGCCAAAGTTTAAATTCTTGAAACTATTTCATCGGCCATGACTTCAAATTTTACTAGCTCTTCAATTAATCTGCATATGAAGCCAAACCTTTGCATGCTATTTCCTCTTCAGTTAGCTTCCAACGTGAAAGCAGCAACTTTTTGGCAAGCTTTGAAAAATTTACTAGAAATTTTCAAAAGAAAAAAGTGCACTTCACTCTTTTTCCCAGAAGAGTTGGAAGAGACCAGAAAAGAGCGAAAATTATTGCAAATTATGCTAATTTTTGACACAATTTCTATATATTATTAAAAATTCGCATTTCTTTGCAGTAAAAAAGAAAGAAGTGAAGTATGAATGTTGTCCGAACAAATACACTCTTCTCTCAATAACGCTATATTTGCGAAGAAAACCTTTATTTTACATCATAAACTTAATCATTCCGACTAGTATCACAACACTCATCGCCATTGTTGGATTTTTCACGCATGTCTTTTTCTTGTCAACTTTTCGCAGCTCTTTTCCATTCCTAATCTGATGTCTCAGCTTTAGTTTAAGATAGATATATGCTTAGCAATCTCAAGAAAGTTTTTTTAGAATCTTTGGTGTTTAGAACATCAACAGCAAGTGGAATGCGCGAGGAAAAGATATCGCTTGGCATCACAACACTATTATCAATGTCTATTCTGATGTTGATGATTTCCGATCAGATGCCGACCACATCCACATTCATACCGCTCATTGGTTCCAGACATATATTTAGTTCTTCGAGCATACAGTTCTTAGATAATTGTTTTCAGACAATTAGTCATTTATTTATCTGTCTATTTCGAACAAATTAAAATGATTATCAGAGTTAAAAAGAGATCAGTTTTCCACTCAGCTAATTTTAGGCTGGTTCATTTTGGCTATGATAACAATTATCACTTTTGGAACTTTGGCATCCTCTGTTATTATTGCTATTCAAAAACGTGGTCGTCAAAAGAGTCGTCTTACTCCACGTATTGTTTGCTTAGTGAAGTTCATCGCATGTATTATGTTTGAAGACATACCAAAACACTTGAGAGAGACGCATGAGGTGCAAAAATTTATCCCAAGATCGCTGTATAGTTCATCCAAAAAATAAGTAAGATCAGGTTGTAGAAGAAATTTTAAAGGCAAATCTAAAAAACAACACAACTAAATAGAATTAAGGATTTCAAATCATGTTATTCTTCATTTGCACAGTTTTAGGAACAGTAAAATAATAAAAATCATATGTACTTAATATCCAGAATATTATATTAAATGCTGTATTTAGAAAGAGCTGAAAACAACAACTTTACTAAATGAAGAAGGACAGCATTTCTCGAGGATAAAACAGGCGGCAATTCTACAAAGAAGGCAAAAAACACAAGCAATCGAACCACATCTCTGCGAACTATCCACATTGTCCTACAACAATAACAACAACGGCACCGATTTACTTTCTCCGAAGGAAGGTCAGTGTTAGTTCATATTTCATATCAGTTTGGCATTCATGTTGTGGTTCTAAAATCACAATTGATTTGGCTCTTTTTAGCTGGTCAAAGTGTCGATATCTCAGACACTCTGGATCCTCCTATGTCTTCTTTTTGTCTCCGGTGTGATTCATTAAAAGGCGGTAATATTGGTTCGAAAATTATTACTTCGGAAAAACCCCAAAGACCCTCACAAAATGTTTCAAATACATGTGGTATGTGACGTTTACTTAACTAACTAAGCTGTTAAATTTTGCATGCTTGAAAACATATAGACAAGAGTATGAGTTTAGTAATTACCCGCAATTTCGCTAGTATCTCTGTATATCAGCATTATTATTATTATAGCAATAACTTTTTAGAAGCTTCCGCTTATTCATTAATCAATTTATTAATCCTTCATCGATATTGTACATCTATCAAGTTCTGGAACTCACGAATGAATCTTCATGATTTTGCTTTAAGATGAGATCAGTATTCGACAGAACCGTCGGCTGGCACGAGATGAATATGACTGGATGGCAAAAGTATTGGAACGACTGTTTTTCATCTTGTTTGTCATCATTTTTACATCTGTCACCATTGGTATCAACTCTCTGGGTTTTTACTATTGGTGCAAAATGGATCATGTGCTGTACGATAGTTAATAGTGTGTTTCTTAATGAATCTCCTAACAGAAATCCAAACAATGAAGATTACCAACAATGATTGTCACTATGTTTTCTGATCATTTTTTATATTAGCTATTAGAGTACCCAATAGTTGTCTTGTGAGTAATTTCTTTGCTATACAACATGCAATAGTATATGCCATTTTTTAAAAATTTTTTGCTAACATATACCGTCACTTGACGTCGCGCAGTCGTATTGTTTCCGTATCGTGATTCTCTCTTTCTTTTAATGACAGAGTTTTTTGTTGCATGAAATTCATTGAGGTTGAAATTATTTGAAGCATACATCTTTAGCATAAGCATATTTTATTTGCATAAAAAAATTTTGAAATTTAATTCGACGAACAAATTCTGTAGAGAAAGTGGAGTAGATTGTATGCCTTCATCAAAAAGTAGATTTATATGTTCATCAAAACCTGATGCTGTTTAAGCTGGTGCATAAATGCTACCGCGACCACTGTACCTATTATAATATTTTTTGTCAACTAATCATGGTAGACAAATTTCAACAAAAATCACTATTTGAACTCAACGATATATGATAAAAATTATTGTTTCATTTCATGAAGGAAACCAATGGTTGCAGAATCCGGATTATATATTAAAAATTATTGTAAAAAGTTTTTCTCAGAAAAAAAGAATTTTTTTTCTTCCACCCTTTTTTGGTCAGTGTTTTAGGAGTTAAGATGCTAATTTTATAAGTGTCTTCTAACAGTGTTTACCTTCAATATAATTGACGCAAACCCTGCTAGTTAATTGGTTTGGAGTCTAAATCGCTGTTTTAAGGAGCCTCATAATTTCTACTTCTTTATTTTTACTTAATTTAAGAGAAATGTTTTATTTAGCCATGTAAGGATGAAAGATTTTGTGTAAGCTTTGACATAATCACATATAATCCTATTGTCTTGGTAATTTAATGAAGCAATTTGTTTGTGATGATCTTTTTTCTAAGAATAGAAGCAATCAGTTAAAATCCTCACCGGCTTTTAATAACGCTGGACAAGGGTCAGCTTTAGTGCTATGTTACTTCTGTTTGCTGCAACCTTTGCACTTTCAGTGACTTCCTTGGAAATTCATCAATCTGTTTCAGGTTTGTATTTCTTCGTATTCTGATTTCTTTATCTTCACTTATTCATGATTTCAGGAGATATAGAAGGAGTATATGGTACAGTCAAAGATATCTCTAATCTAGAACCTTAAAAAACTATAGCTTTTGGTCTACCAATTATATCTGAAGTAAATACCACTTATTAGTATTTGCAGAAGTGGAAAAGGGCAACGAAATGCATTATTTTATTTCAGAGCGACAACAGTTACCTCATATTCGATTGATTCGAGATTTACTTTCTACCAAGAGGTATTATTTTCGTTTGATATGCTTAATGCGAGAAGGTATCCAAGGTAATACTGACTCACATGATTGAATTTACTTTGTTTAAACAACATTTTTTTTTATTGTTTTAATGATTTGAATTTTAAATGATTGGAGTATACATATTATCTATGATAGATATGATCCGAGTGTTCGACCGGTTGGGAATTATTCCAAATCGTTAACGGTGCACATCAGTATGAGTTTATACCAAGTCGTCGATGTGGTTCGCTTTACAACATTTTCACTTGAGAATTGATATTATGCTCTTTTTTGGAATAAAAAGAGAATTATTTGAAACAGTTGAGTTATGAATAAAATTCTCTCTAATTTTTAGTAGAAGTGAAATACATTTCTGTAAGTGAGCTTTATTTAACTTCTAATATATCTATATGTCTGTATGATTTCAGTTATAGTTCTTTAATATATGATGACTTACATTCATCTACTATAATTCATTAGTTGTTCTTCTGTGACTTTTATGTTTTATTGCGATTGATGTTACAGGATGAACCATCACAGTATTTGACCTTAAATATATGGATGATTCAGGTTCTATTGATGTCAGATTCGTATACATTTTACTTTGTTTCTTCCATTTTTTGCTTCAGACAGACCTAATTACAATTACAATTTATTTGAATTCGTTAGCAGTAAAATTATTTAAACAGTTTGAAATAAGGCAATAAAAATGTACAAAATTTCTACAGAAGTATTTAATCCAGTCTAATTTCTTGAGTGTAATGCATTTAATCATTTTAATCGTTATACAAAGTTTAATTTGATATTTGAGAAATGGGTGGACGAATTTCTGGATTGGAATCCTAGTGAGTATGACATGATCAACTATACAGTGCTCCCGCATAGTGCTTTGTGGATCCCTGATACTTTCATCTACAACAGGCACAGTACTTCGTTGTCTGTTTACTTTGAATTTGAAAAATTCTAACTTTTTGTTAAAATATTTTGAAATGAAAAAACATGAATATAGTGTGGTGATGAGTCGTGAGGGAAGTGAGCGATACATGAATGTTGCTGTAAAAAGTAGACATTGGAAAGATAAGTGTGGTGCCGAAGTATTCTTCTTATATCCAGCACTTTACACTATACGTTGCCGCATAGATATACGCTATTTTCCGTACGATCATCAGGTTTGTATATAAATTTATAGATACTTTTTTTTTAATTTTTTAGAATTTTTTAAGAGAATTTTTTTATTTTTTTATAAAGAAAAAATGGCTCCAAGGCGAAATTTAGGAAATAACATAAAAAAGACATAATGGAAAATTGCCTCGATCAGTGAAGCAAAGTATAAAGATTTGGAAATTCTTGATAATTTGGTCCTTTAATCAAAATTTTATATGGTTATTTCTTCAGAACTGCACTTTAACTCTTGGTTCATGGACAAGTAGTAAGGCTTTACTTAATTATACGACAGATAAAGCAGTTAATATGCATTCGTATATACTGAACGAAGAATGGGATATTCTTTCATTTAATCTCTATCGCCATGAAGTTAATTGTCTTTTAATTTGTATATTTTTCTTGTTCTACTTTACTGTAAAATTCAACTGAATTTTTCAAAACGCTTAATGTACTTCTTATTTTGTAGTATCTATATGCCTGTTGTCAAGATCCCTGGGTCATTATCGAAGGATATCTGATCATCAGAAGGAAGCCATTATATTACGTAGTCAATCTCATTATACCGACAACCATTTTAACATTGGGTTTTTTTAATTTAAAAATTCTAAAAGATGCATCTTTGAATGTAGCAGATGTTTCAAGAGTGCAGTCAGGAAAATGCAGAAGTGAATCTTTGATTGTTAGAAATTTGTAACAAAACAGTTTTCCTTTTTCATGATTCTTCTCACTGATTCATATTACAATTTCAGTGGCAATAGTTGGCTTCTTTACGCCAGCTTCAACAAGCGATGAAAGAACGGAAAAAATTACGATCGGTATCACCGCCCTATTGGCAATATCCATCCTGATGTTAATGGTTTCTGATCAAATGCCAACAACTTCGGATTTTGTGCCTCTTATTGGTGATCTTATTGTAATATGACTGTTTTTTATCTCTGAATAACTTCTAAATAATGTCATTACTGCAATATAACTATTAATAACAGTATCGTAGCAATGAATTTTTTTGCTATACAATTTGCAAATTTAATAAGAGTTATTATTTAAAGAGCTCATTTTTCAACAAGTTTGTAAATAAATATTTTAAAAAGGTCACAGCTATTTTTTGAGAAGCGAGATGCAAAACGAATAAACTCATAACTTTACTATTTTATTGAAAATCAATTGAAAAAACCAAGTAAATTAGTGAATATAATAAGATTAAAACTTCTAAAGGAAAGTGGGTTAATCAAAATATCATTTATCTTTCTTACAATGAAACTGATATAATTTTAGCTTGGTTCTATTTGTCAAATATCATCGTCATTTCCACAGCAACATTTTGTACTTGCACTGTTCTCTGTATTCATGGCCATCATAAAAACGGTAAATTACCGCCTGTTCTTATTCGAATATTATTCTTCAAGTATATCTGCAACTATTTGTGTATTTCTCCACCATACGAATTGATTATATTATGGAGTGGAAAAGAGGTGAATAATTTAGTTTACCTTGATTAAAATAAATTACTTCTGAGTGTAGTCTCACGTCCAGAAAAGCTTGTGAATAACAATACCTCTCTTTTAAATAGATGAGACAAATAATCTTGCCATGTCTTTCACAGGGAAATGTCCTTCAAAGGTTGAAACAAAAGAAATCTATACAGTATACGGTACAGTCGCTGGATAAAGAAAAGGTATAAAATCTTTGGAAACGTGAATTTACTTGCCTTTATTTTATTTCTCTTAAAAAGAGAAGAATTGAAAAGTTTGAAAAAAAAAAAAAATAATTGGAAACAAATAGTAAGAAAAATCAAGATCAAACACAAATATCACATTGAAAAACAGTATAGATTTGTAGTGATAGTTTTCATAATTTTTTATTATCTCTTGTAATGCCAGTAATGAATTTTCAAATCCAGTTAACTCTCACTGAATTATCAGTGAAATCACCAATGCAAGGAATCCTCGAGAGTGATACTAATAAAGAAGCACAGCAGGGAGCGCAGAGATTATCAGCGAAAGAAAATTGGACTCAAATTTCCTTCAGACTGAAAGATATTTTACATAAAAACAGAGGTGGAGTTATTGTAATATTTATAACTTCTAACAGCAAGGAAATCAAAAATTTTAGACAAAAGCAATATTTTATTTGAAACTCCTAACCATTACTTTACGATTAATCTATTTTAAACACGTTATTCATCATGTTATTTGAAAAGTTAAAAGTTTGAGATCGATCAGAAGTTATACCCAAAGAAAACTCACTGACTTCTTTGTTGCAAAAGATGCGAAAAACATCTACAGTTCACTCAAATCGGAGGAATCTATCACTTTGGAATAGTGCAGTTCAATTTGTACGATTTACAAGCAATGATTTATCACAGAAGGTAACAAATTCTGAGTCAATAATTAGCAAAATATTTCTGAATAGAAATAAAATTTACATTTCTTGGAGAACGTGAGAGGACATAACCTCCGAAATAATCAATTCAGAAAATTCACACGAAATTATTTTTATCAAATGTTTTAAAAATCATATTCTTTATTTACAAAGTTAGATAAAGACACAATAGGAATTGCACAAACAGTACATAATTTGAATCAAATATTTAGAGGTAATAATTTTTTGGCATAAAAAAAGTTTCGTTGTCAAGGAGCATTTCAGTTTAACTAGGCATATAATAGTCAATATGAAATCGATTCTGTTCAGTATGATAAACAGTACGATGAGCTCGATGAAATAGCTGAAGTTATAAGAAAGGAAGAGATTGGTCTCATTTCTAACGGAGTCTCTAATTACTGGCTTTTAACACATCTTGTTTTAGCCTGAATCAGCCGAATTAAAATCAATGAAGTATCACAGACAATGCACATTGGAATGGGAATTCTTGGCTACAGTAGTAGATCGAATTTTTTTGTTACTTTTCTCAACTATTACCATACTGATTATTATCGTTCTAGCAATAACAGCCAAATTGGCTCAGTATCGTTTCAATACTGCATTAGAGATCGCCCAGAATTGATGCTTTGTTGAACGAAAAATATATGAGAATAAGGCTTAGAAATTGAGCATTAACAGCTTTCCAAAAAAATAAACCTTTACTTAATGTGTGGTTTATTAATCTCTGTTATCGATTTTTTCCATTCTGAATAATGTTTCTGAAACATAAAGTGGCATATAAAATTTGTGCAGGAAAAGCAAAAAGTGTTTCCACGATTTTTTCTTCATTCCTTTTTCCGAAAGCAGAAAATCCTGGGGTCTTATTATTCAAGTTATCACAATGAACATGTTTCAAATTTCAAATTTTGTTTCCTGGAGTTTTCAATTGTAGTAGATAATTAATTTAGTTAATTGTGTAGACAACTATGTTTGAAATACGGCATCAAATTTGACGTGGAATTTTAGGTAATTAGCACCAGAGTAATTAACAAGTAACAACATTTAGCGCAATAAACTGAGAGATGAGATAGGGATGACGGGCTCATCCAAATTTCATGTTATCATTATATTGAAGCTGAAATGCAAGTTTAATTTCAAAAATTGTAACCGATAAACTGTTCCAAAATTTCTGTTTCCTAACTTTTTAAGATTTCTATGCTGAAAGTCATCCAAAAATGATAATATTTATAAAATAACAAAATTCACAACAGATATAAACAGAAGCCCAAGATTCACAAATTCTTTTCTGAATCGTACCTCGAAGGACTGAACTGCAAAATCCTCGAAAGATTGAAATTTGTCTTATTAGTTCAATTTCTGACTGTTTTATTTATTACGATCGGCATGACAATATTTAAATTTGGCTAGTTTCTTTAACTAATATCTCCATGATTATTGTTAAAAAACTTCTGACATAATAAGAACGGGTAAAAATGTACTCCAAAATATCGATGAATATTTCAACTACCAGGTAATTATTGAAGATATAAGTCCAAATGTTGAAAACTCTGTCAATAACAGAGTAACGTATGTATACCGTGGTAAGGCCTGCTTTTTAATTAACTTTTAAATCATAAAATTTTTCCAAACTAGTACAAAACAAGGTGGAAAAAAAATCAAGGTCTTGAGATTTTTCTTGTTTTCTGAGGTTTCCTTATTCATTTTAATCTTTGAAACAAACCAACGAATAAAACACAGACAATGGAAATTATATTATGAAGTGAAGAAATATCATTTTGTAATAAGCATTAGATGTGTTACCTAATACTGAAGTAAAAATATTTAGTTCAATTCAAGACAGCAAAGAAGTAAACATTTTCACAAATGTGAAAATCAAATATCAACAAGAACGATAATTTTACACTGGTGCTTTCTTAGAACTTTTTATGCGATAATTCGTTTTAAAAACACTATCAGCCTTTACTGTCTCCTTAATTCCCTTCTTCCTTAATTTTCAACAATTGTACAACTGAATATACAGTTTACTAGACTTGATTGGCACCATTCCATTACCTTTTATTTGGGAAATTCTATCATCTGTGAGGCAATTTATGAACCGATTAAAGTTTAGAGTGAAATCACTATATTGCATACTACACATAGTTAATAATATAGTTGAACAACAATTTTGTCCATGCTGACTAGAATGATGCGTAAAGAAAATGACAGCATGGGAAGAGTGATAAGAACGATAAGTTCTAGGTTAGATTTCCGATATTATCGGAGGAGGGTACAGTATTCAAATATCCATGAAATTTAGAGCAAAAGATGTATTTGTAATTCAGTTTCATATATATATGAATTCTTTAATCTTTATCCAGTTAGAGCTAGAGATGAGCCTCAACAGATGACATGAAAATCGCATAACAAAAAAATTATAATTTGCTGAAAACATTCATAGCTAGACGGTCAAAAGTAGCAAATATGAGAGAGAAGAGGGTCACCGAAAGTTTACTGTAATCCAGTGCTTCTAAACAGTGACAATTTAATTTATCCCTCAAACGGTGTTAATGAAGGTTTTATGACCAAATAAAATGAATTGGACAGCAGGAATTCCGAAATTAAGAAATCCAAAATATGAAGAAGTAATCAATATGAGAATTTACAAGCATCATTTTAATTTAGATGATACCAGTAAGTTGCAGACAATACGATGTGAATATGGATAAAAAAAAACACCGCTGAAAAGAAAACTATTGGTGACAAAGAGGAAATGGATATATCTCGCATTGCGAAGAAGGAGATTAACGAACAAAAAATAGAATTGTCACAGGTTCATTCATTTGTCAATTTTGATAACAGCTGTACAAAACTGGGAAAATTTTTTTTTCGAATTCACACTAAAGCATTTTTAGCATCGTCGTCAATGAGTGAAACTATTGCTTCATTAATATATTCCAACCATTTCTTGGCCAAATATAATATAATAAAATTTGAAGAAAATGGCTCCAAAAGATTCGCCTCCAAGCTTTTTTTCCTGAGATTTTTTCTACCAATTAATTTTTTAATAATTTACGAATTAAATAATAAAGATTTCCCTCAAAATAACTCATTAAACATTGCTGAAATTTTACACGACTAGATTATCTTATCAAATGCTTTTTTTCAAAATTCTTCAAAAGAAGAGGAAATCGCCAATTTCATATTCTCACCAAACAACTCAGCACTCACTGTTTAGAGTTTTCGAGAACGATGAGAACGATGAAATCAAAAGTGCGAAACATGGTATCGCTAAATTTTCAGCAACTCGAAGAAAAGAATTTTCAAAAATTAGTGGAAAAGGATTGAGAACAGTGGAGAAAGGGAAGATAGTACGTTGTTAGAAATATCGAAGTGTTCAACAAATACAGAAAGGAGAGTGTGTCGATATAGTTAATAACAACATCACCGGTCAGCCGGTCAGTTTGCATGCCAATGTAGAGTTGTCCACTCAATCAATGCGAATGTCTTGTTTCTACTTCATTCTAACAGAATAATAGAGTTATAGCAAGAAAATATCTGCAGCATAAGTTGAAAACCTTTATGGATTGTTATTGGTTTACCATCTTAGCAAGGATTTTTATCGTACGAGAAAACCGGAAGTGGATAAGACAGAAAAGAATAATGAAAATTTATATTGAAGAAGTTAATAAGACGTATATACTTTGGAGTTTCTTAAAGAAAGAACCTTGATAAATTTTGACAAAAGCCTTTTATTAAGAAATGCTAGTCGACAGTTTCATGCTAAGTCTAGGACGCTTGTACAGATTCAGCATGGAATTGTTAAGAAATCCTTCATAGGGACTATAGCATTGTTTGAAAGTTAATTCGTTAATTTATTTCCAGAAATTTTGGCTATAATTTTATTAACAACAAATTTTGCAATGAAAAAGGAATGTATAAAGTTCAAGTGAAGAAGTTACGAAACATTAAAACGAAATTGAACGAGTAATACAAAAACTGGTAAAAAAATAAGGACATTGATAATATCAAAAATTTGTGTTAAAGAAAAAGGAAACCCGAGAATTAATGAATCCAATATACCAAAATCTAGTTCAAAAGTAGAATTATGCAAGAATTTGAAGGAGCTTATCACGATATCAGTAAGTGATCATTTCACAAGTTTTTACATATAACTACGGCAGTAATCATAAAGGTAGTCCAAATCCTGAAATTTTGGTATGTTTCTAACATTCTCTACGACTAATGAAATCTCCGCTTTCAATGCTAGGTGAAGGAAGCTCTGAATCTAAGGAATTTGAAATCAAATGTAGTTGATCTCAGAGCGTTACCAATCTAGATGGAACATTTGAAGTTAAAATGTATTTTGCAACTACATCGTGGTTGGGTTTTAGTAAATTGCGAGTAATTCAAAAAAAAGCAAACATCCATTTTGATAACTTTTTTTAAATTTGTATGCGTTATTGTCGTCTACTATTATTTTGTAAAAAATCTGTTTGTTAATCGCATATTTGTTCAAAATCTCAAAAATGTCGATTTAACTGTTCTTTTCGTTTACTTCCACTTAAACACAAGTCAGTGCTACCTAGCAACTAACTTATAGTCCAACTGAGTGATATAATTATATTATTTGTCAAATGTTTCATCATATCTCTTGTTATAATAATACACTTTGCATGCATGTCAAACGTCGAGTTCCTAAAAATTTGTTTGCTTCCAACTAAACACAAGTCAGAGGATTAGTGATTTAAAAAAATTGAAATTATGTAAAAGAATAGTCCGAAAAAAACTTCTGTCTCAAAAAAAAAAAAAAAAAAAAAAAAAAACATGCAAAATCAAAATAAGGGATTAAAGTAGCGCAGTTTCAATGTCATTAATTTTTCACTGTAAAAATTGTGTTCATTTTTGTTTGTTGGGATTTCTTTTGTTTACTACCACATTTGTCAACATTGTTTGATACCGATATACCGATCCATAAATATGTTCCCCTTTCACCTAATAGTGGCGTTCCTTTCCATTACAAAATTTTTATTTCATTCACATTACTTACATCAATGAATATCATCAATATCTTTAGTTAAAAATTTTTATTTTTCATTAATGTCGGTCTTCAGGCTTCTTTTCTGTTCACGATTGTTAATAATCAGCGACAGTACAATTTCTTGAAATTTCTTTACCACTAAACAATGTTACAAATAGATTTCAGCAAAAAATTTAAATAACACTTTCCATTAAGCATGATCTAGCATGATAAGGAATCAAGTAAGCGATGTTTCGCTCAGCTTTCTTGTGCAATTTAATCAACTATTAAGAATCGTCAATGCACCAAAGCATTTTTTTATGCGACTGAATTTGAAGTATATTAAAATGTAACAAAATGTACTTGAAATTTCTTCGAAATTCGAAAAACAATTCTATGTCAGAAGACAATCTTAACAAGTTGATTGATTAGTTAAGCATCAATAATACTGGTCCTTGCGAAATATTTCATGTCTATTTGTTATTGCATTCTAATTCTGCGCGGAATTTTTTAAATTCCGACTTTACTTACTGTCTTTCTCAAAATCATTCATTTCATGCAGTAATAGTTTGAAACAAGAAGAAAATTTAGATAATCTGGCAAAGGCATGACACTAACCATTCCGGTTTTACCGTTCGTGGCGGGAAATGTAGCATTTTCCATAAATTAATGGCGAATTAAAACATTTTCTGATTGATATTATCTAGCAGTTAAGCTTTCGTTATCTTCTATTTTGGTTTGGTAGACAAAGAACATGATAGCTTGTTTCACACAATAGCCTTGTTTTCAAAAAAGCAAAATGTTCTGACAGAATGATTTTAATGAGAAGAAAATCTTCTTATCAAGCTATGATTTCAAATTCTTCATTTTTTTAAAAAAAGAAAATCTCTGAAGAAGAATTTCAGTAGCTCACCCAGCTTGGAAGATCACTGCCAGTGACTATCCTACCGAATCCTGTTGTCTTAACTGCAGTGCAAACATTGTCGCAGTGCTTCAGGCATATGTATTATGCAGAAGTTTTATGATTTCAAGCTTTTTATTCTTCAGAAGAAAGTTCAATTTAGAAAATTTCTTTCAAGTCTTTTCAGAATTTAGTTTCACATCTATGAATTTCACAATTAGTGTTTTCGATATAAATAAATCGTACATAGTTGTGTGGATTAATATGCGAAGAAATGCTTCTTTAGATACATTGAATCAAATCTATTCCAGTGTTATTTTGATGATTTGTGTGTGATAAATTTATTTCCGTAATCAAAATATTTCGCCGTAAAATTGTCAACACAATTCCAATCCGTACTAGTACAATTGTTCAGTTCAGCCCATCTCTCTCAACGATTCCCGTTCTGCAGTTTACCTTTCTCTAATTTTTTTTTTTTGTTAGAAACGAATTAGTTATTACGATATTCTGGACTGATAGGGTCATATGCTAATCACTGATTATACTCTGATACTGATCCAACGATTGCCTTTGCTATTTCTCATTTCTACTAGCCATTGCAATTTTTATACTACTGCAATACCACTGCGTGCTAACGAGCCTTGGTCAGTGATTTTATGCAAATTCGCTGATACGGCGAGATATGAGCCACAAAGACGAGAATGGTATCAGAACTGGATGACTGGTTCCGGCTCAGGTATTTATTTGCTTAATGTTAGCCATAACTACTAACATGTAATGAAACTACTAACATGTAATTTCAAAAGTTTCCAAATCCGACAAATGAAGTTAAACTAAGAAATACCTTCACATCATCTCATTTCCATAGAAATATATCTCCTGTTCAAATCAATCTGCCAAATGATCCACATATCCATTAATTCTTCAGTATCTTAAAACAAGGTCTGAGTTTTCCTCAGTATTTAAAACAAGCCGTAAAGGAAGTACTCTAACATTAATGTCACTGGTAGTTTAATTAGAAAATATTATATGTTATTCTTTTGATTCTATACAACACTTTCCCGATGCGGGATATAATCTCTTAGACAAAAAATTGCACTAACGATGGTCAAATTCTTTTTAATAAATTAGCGGGATGGATTGTCACTTGGATAACCAAATAACACTTGGAAGTTTTTTTATTTTTATTTGAAATTTCTGGAATATGATCAATAAGTTTTCGGCATTAGACTGAAAAGAATTTCTATGCTATCATGATTTTACAATTTAATTAAACTTTAAACTTTGGTATTAAAAACATGCATAGTTTGAGTAAAAATTTTCTTCTTTTCAGATACGATTGCAAAGTATTTCATGAATGTATCGAATGGAATTTATACTATAGCAGATACAAAAGTATTCGGCTGGGTGACACTCCCGTGGACAGTAAAGCAAGTGAGGTTAATGGCTCTAGCGGATAAAGCTTTCTGGAATAACGACAACTTCAATTCATCTGTGAGTTTCAATTCTGCTTTGTTAGTTGGAAAACCTACAAGATGGATTTTAAGTAACCTTTAAATGGTTACTTGATTAGTAGTTTCGTTTTCAGTTTTTTATTAAAGCGAAACAATTATGTGTCAAATTGGCTGCACGAAAGACACAATTAAACAAAAAAAAGATAACGATACTAAACACGGAGCATGGAGCAATGTATGGCAATGAGGATGGTGTCCTGATCACACCGCGATTATCATTTAACTCGGTGCTTACCCATGAAATGGTGCATAGTTTTCATATTGGGCATTCATATAGCGATCGTAAAATTGCCGTGAGTTTCTTTCTTTAATTACAGCATCGATCGGTAATGCACGTCATACACGTTTAAATTAATTTTTATTTTTTTACTGTAAAAAAATGGTTAAATTTTAAGTTTGCACATAAAATATCGAGGCATTGATAATAGAGTTCGAAACATGTCAAGCTGGTGGCAGTTATTAACTGCTTTGGTCATTTAAACTCATTTAATGATTTTCTCTATCAATTAGTCGATCAATCGAGGAATCAATGAATCAAGCAATCATAAATTTGTCTATCAATTATTGTACACATTTCTTTAATTAGAAACAAAAAAGTCTTTACATACCGAGTATTTATTGCCCTTCACAAACTAGATATCAACAGTTAAAATATAAACCTGCTATTCTTAAATTCAAAACGATGCAACAATGGCTCAGATCTTTCCATTTGCACACATGGGTGAATACGGTGATCGCTATGATTTGATGAGTACGTCGAATGCTTGGATGTATAAGTCGCAATATGGCCTTAGTGGACCAGGCTTAAATGGACCACATCTTGATTATCTTGGTTGGCTACCCAGTAATCGGATTCTTTATTTTGGAAGGTTCTCATTTTTGTTAAAATATTTAAGGAAAGTGATGTGTCATAAATTACCTATCAGAATTGAACGTCTAAGTGAAACATTTCGTTGAAAGAGAGTTAACAGATTATACTGTGTCTGTAGAGATGGAAAAAGCAGCTCAATTATACGATTGTCATCATTAAGTATCTCTCATGCACAATCCAACGATTGGCTTCTAGTGATGCTCCCATTTGATAAAAACGATCCTGCTAATGTCTTCACCTTGGAATTTCGAACTCCAATTAATTATGATTCTGGCATCAAACAGGTTCAACTTGAAATATGTGAAATACCAAGAACATTAAGAAAATTGCACTAGAGTATTCCATTGCATTTACGAGCAAAATCCTATTGCTATTTACAGGAAGCGGTTGTAATACATAAAATTGACCGAAAAGGAACAACCTACTATTCAACCATAATTACACACAGTAAAGATTATGATGAAATGATGGTTGGCACTGAATGGGTACATTTCCTTGAACAAGACAGTCCTGAAGTTTACCCAGTCATTAAAGTACGTGTTGAGAGAATTGACAAACAGCGACAAGTAGCCGTTCTACAAATCAACTCAACATTCAATCCAATAAAACCTAACAAAGTATTTTATTGATAACATATGGGAAAAATATTTCTCGAAAGACAATTTTACTTCTTGAATTCACAGGCAATTATACCATTCAAAAAATATTTTAGATATCGTGTAGAAGTACAAGAAAACAGAGGCATCTAAAAGATGAAATGAATTCTAGTCATATTCAAAATGAAGGAGAGACTGTTAGGATTTTACCACCTGAACAAAATGGGTATGTGCTAAAGTTATGGATACACTTTTAATTCAAAATTTGTAATTAATGTTACGGTTTTTAAATTTATTCGTTTGAACTTTGTCTTATTTTAATTTCCAAGGCAAGGTGCAGCAAGAATTGTCATTTTGATAGAGAGAATGTGAAATTGACATGAAAGCTCGACTTTCAGATTTTTTAAAGATTTGGTAACTTTTGGTATGAATGCTTGCAATAACGGATACGTCTGGAGAATGATTGATCCTTATGACTATGCTTGTGTTACAAAAAATAGGTTATTTTATTTTACTTTGAATTACAACATATTTTCAACTTTAAAGAAATAGAAAATGAAAGGAAAAAAAAATTCTATGTAATACTAATTTCAAATTTATGTTTCAATTATTTTTCATGATACTTGCAGCTGTGAATATTACAGTCACTTTTCCTGCTACATATTTTCAGGCAACAGGAAATTCGATATCAGAGAAAAGTCGGAAACCCCAGTGGCATCTGTCGTAAACCATTAATGTTACGAAAAGCTTTCCCCAGTGATACTGCTTGTGTGACACAGACAGAATTCGTAATAATACAGAAAGAGAATGCAGAGATGCATAAAAATATGAAGTATCATTCATTTTTTAATGGAGAAGAAACGGTTGTTCCATGACAACTCAGGAAGATTTCATCTTTTAGTTGAGAAGAAACGGTTGAGTGCCTTATAAATTGTAATTGTCAAATTTATTTCAATAAAATAAGCTGATTAGCACAATTCATCCACTGTATCATTTTAATTTAGACAGCTTTCATTTTCTGGTTTTTCCTCGAAATTTTCATTGTTCTTGAAAAATATCTGATTTTATTATTTACATATATATCAGGAATAAATTATTCATTTACCAAACAGGCAGACAACAAACTGAAAGCAAAAGCTAAATTTCACATGAAGTTACATTAACAGTGAAGTCAAAAACACTTGGTCTGAAGGTTGTGGTATCTGAAGAATTTCGTTTCCTATTCTAATGTCATCCATGAATATTGCTAAGCGTTTCGGATTTTGAAACAGTGCAAAAATAGGCTTAAGTCAACCGATTTGATGAATGAATGTGACCCATATGTTCTTCAAATGCCTTTAAATATTTCCGTTTCGGTTAAGAAATTTATATTTTGATCTCCCGTAATTTTCGTTTGCCTGAAGAGCTTCAAATGCTTTTTTTTCTTCTATATTTCTAAAAAGTTTCTTCAGCATTCATTTCTGTTCGAATCTAAGATGAGTCATATTATTTCATAAACAATTACTACGTCATAACGTACCCAACAACAATTTGGGGAAATTTGTCGTTTAAGAAAAAAAAAAGAAAAAAACATTAACAAACAATGAAACATTGCGTAAATCAATAAATGGTCTCCACGACATTATTGAAGAAAAAGAAATTAAACTGTTTTAATCGCTGTGAAAAAATGAGTTCTTTCATTCTATTGGATTTTATTATTTGATTTGTTGTGTCATTCATAATACTCCACTTCTCATCTTTGTGATACATAAAGTAATGATTGTTGACTCTCCCTTACCTCAATTGTTAATCACTTCCGTCTCAGTATCTTATTCGTTTCTCCAAAACACTTTATAAATCTTCACAGTTTGCTTGCAATTGCAATTACGTAAGTGTCAGCGATGATCACCTTTAACTTTAGCCGTTATATTAACAGGAAATATTTTCGACAGATCTGAACTGAATATTCAAGAGACTTATCAACCATTTCATATCAATTTTGATTTCAGCGATTTTATTTCTTTTCACGGTTAATTTTCTGATAATGATCGTTTATGCTCTGTAACACATACAAATCGTACTGATTTGAATCTGCCAACTCATTACCTCTTGAAGCTTAAAAGAATATTAATTTTGCATAAGAATCAAAGTGTGTTTTAATTGAACAATCTGCATGAGCTAGATTTGGTCCAATTTAATGCCATCTCGAGAAATTCGTGGTTTCCTGACCATCACACGAACTTTAGAATTTCAGGGATTAAAATTGTGAAGCGCGGTCATCCTTTTATCCATTTAACTTTTGGATTTTATCTTCTTTTCATCCCATTGTAATAAATTCAAATTTCTCAACATATTGTGTGATAGTGTAATGTCCTTCATCTCAGAATTGTTTCATCTTTTGTATAGCAGAAACTCTTTTTTGTTGAGAATTGCGACAAATGCCGCTATTAACGATCAACCATGTCACTTACAGTGAATCAAATTTTTTAAATTATTTTAAGACTATTTTCTTGCAGGAGAAAAGCTAACTTTCGTTAAGAAAATATTTGTTAGTACGGCTTTTCAAAATCGTCTATTTAACTGTGTATTCGACTTCTCAATACTTTAATTGAGGGATTTTAATTAGTAACATTTTTTTGCGCAGATTGCTTTAATCGACTACAAATGTTATTTCTTATACGCTTCTAAACAGTGGAATTTGAAATATTTAGGAAGAAACAATTGAAAGCTATCAGAAGATTAAGAAAAGACAAATACTTTCCCAAAAGTTTTTCCAGCTTCGTTACTCACGTGAGCTCTGTCAAAAGCTTTTGTATTTTTAATTTTTTTTTTCACCATGAAACAAAAACAACAGATTTTCCGAAGTTGCACAGAATAATTTCAATAAAATTTTCTTGTCCTCGATCATTTTTGGAATTTGGTTTGCAAAACTTCCTCCCTAAAAAAAGAGTCATAAAAAAGAAAAAACCAAAGACCACCTGTCTCAGCATTCTAGTGACTAAAGCAAAAACCAAGCTTGGGACGAATTAATGAGAATTAATTAGAATCGAGAGATTATTACTTTATGAATACGTCAACATCATTAATTTAAAAAATTGTAATGGCAAGGATTGGAAAAATATTATGTTATGTAGAGGCAAGAAAAAGATTAAATCTGCTCAAAAGAGAAAATTTCAAATTGATTTAATGCATGGGCTAATTCGAATCTTATTAAGTTTAGGTTTATTTGAAACCATAAAAATTTTTCCTTAAAACATAAACTTAGTAAAAAAAATAATTTCTCCTGAAATTCGCTTTGGAAAATAGTAAATCGAAAAGATAATAGATTGAGACTCATTGAAAATAGCCGACAGATTTCAACAATGAAACAGCGGATGATTGATTATTCATACTACCACTGGAATAGAATATTGCTGAACGTACTTCTTGGAATATGTCAACAATCCCTTCCCCTCCTCTCCGCGCCACACACTTAGCAAAATTGTAAAATAATAGAATTTTTAAGATTTTTTGGAAACAATAATTAAATTAGATTGATAGTTTAAACAGTTTTCTAACTGCGTCAATCAAAATCTTCAAGCACTGCACTGTATTCATCAAAATAAATTATCAGTTTTAATTTCAAAAGAATTTCTCCGCGTAACATATTCATATTTTACATAGATATGAATATAAATCAGTTATTGATCAAACATACTTGAAGAAAGAGAAATCTTTCACTTGGACGGATAGCTTCTCAAATGATAGTCTCCCGATTACATTCAGTTATGCAAGGACAAAGTTATCAGTTTTGTTTGTCGCGAATTCAGGATTGATTATTCATTACTCCTAATGCGGAATCTTTGGTTTTCACGTGATTTCCAAAAAATTTTTGAATTTTTTAAGTGTCCATTTCTTGATGAAAAGTTCAATTACAATTTCCATGAATTTCTCGAATTTGCAAAGTGTTCTTTTGTTACATAAATAAGGTTAACGGCCCATTCTTGTGACTGTCGTTAAAAATTTTTAAAGAAAGTTGTGTGCGGAGAAATCACAGCGGAATAGAAACTTGTCTAGTTGAGGGAAAATTTTGTCACAAAGGAAAATCACATAAAACAACGATCGATTTTGATGGCGCATCTTTCTTTTCCTCCTTCATCTTTCTCAGTTATGCTTTTTTTTAAATCGCACTATGTATAAAGCAATATAATTAAATGAAAACGGCTCCTGCCTCAATAAATTATATGATACAAAATTGGTAATTATAGAATAAAACAGGTGTACTGTATGATGACGGATCTATCTTTTATTGCTTTAATTACTAAAATAGAATAGAACATCGCAGTTTAAGGAAATTTTTCTTTTTCGTCAAATTTTCTTGCCAAAGTGGAAGATAATTATTGAAGTCCGTAGCAATAAATTTAGAAAATTTTTTGCTATCTTACTTAAATTATATGTCAGTTTTCACTTTTTTTATTAACAAAATACTATTTATTTTTTGAAAAAATCATAAGAAGTTTTCGTTATTTTGATTTTTCTAACTCTCGAAAATATTGGTGAAATATTAATAATAAAAACAGAAAATTACAAAAATTAAGTTTGAGTCGTTTTCTTCCTTTTTCAGTAGAGTATTTTCAGGCTTTAATTGAATTCATGATAACTGTTTTTTTCTGTATGGTGTATCACAGAATGATATTTTAGGATATCATTTAACTTGAAATTTTACTGCTGGTTAAAGTAGACTCAGTGCTTCAAAATGATTTATTAACTTCCTAAAAATTTTCCCTTCCAAAGTTGGTAGACTTTTCAATCTAGAATCATTTGACAACTTGAAAATCACACTTTTAAGTTATTTATAATTTGTGTAAAACGTGATTTTTCCGCTTTTTAATGTATGTTTTGAACGCAACTGAAAAGCATGAAAGTTATAATATTCCCATCTTCTGCACCGTTAATCTCAGCAAATCATCTAGAGAGAACATTTTAAACACTTTCTGCATTTCTGACTTTTTCAGTTTTCGTCAGGATGAACTTTAAGGCATGGACGTTTTCAAGATATGTGATGAGAAATTGATATTATCGAGATGATTAAAACCTTATCATTGTAACTTTCCCAGTTAATGCTTCGTGAAAATTTTGACTTTTGTTCAAAATTTGCATTCAAAGTGTTCAGTAAGGTTCCATCAAAGGCTGCACGGTAGTATGAGTACCAATGATTTTTGCAATTTTTTTCAAAATTTGAATCATCGGTCATCAATTTCCCCAAATTTAATTGTCTCAAGTGATTAATGTTTCTCAGTATGGCAATGTGAGAGCAACTAGATCGGAACTGCAGTCTTCCCCCAAATCACTCGAATGGTTGCTGTCCTTGTTTCCTCTTTGTTTCCAACCCACTACACCGACCATTGCTCCATGTGTCGCACAGATACCTAACCAGACCGATCATTATCATCTCGAAGTTTGCCCGATTTTAAATGTTTTTCACTTCTAAATCCACTTTCCTTTCAAATACTCCACAGGTAATAACGCAGTCTCCTATCTTGATATAAATCTACGATTGGTCCCACAGCAGTATTCTGTGAAGTAAGTAAAACCTTGATTCGCTGATCTCAAGGATAATCTAAATATTCGTTTTTATTTACAGTTTTTTTTTTTTAGCGTTCTCCACAAATTAGTTTGTATATTTATTTGTCGCATTTCTATGATTTGATTTACGACCTTAATAAACTTATCCTGCATCTGTTGCCGAAAATTATAGAGTTTTATATGAAAGTTCTGCTGTATTGACACTGCCAACAAAATTACTTTTGAACTAATCTTTAATTTAAAAAATCAGGTGAAATTTTCTTTTTTACTCTAAATTAGGATCTAATATCAAAATTTAATTCAAAACTTTAAAATTAATTTAGATTTCTCTACTAGGTCTTATTTATTTTTGATGTAGCGGTGTCATCAGTACTTTCGGTTTTGCGCTTAAGTATAAGTGAAAGAAACCCAAAATGTGATCATTTCCTTTACCACTTCGATTCTAGCAAGGAAAGATGCCGAAAAGTTAATTAAACCTGTCAATTTTCTGTCTACTTGACATCATCTGTTTTGAAATCCAAAATATGAGTCATTCATTTGTACCGTATTAGGTTTAGAATTTTGAAGAAACTCTTGCATACCAATCATCGCTGGTGTGATTAAAGAATGTATCTTTCATTCTTCTTGAATTCCTTGATAACTTCATTTCCGAATTTTATTGTCTCATCGAAACTGGACGGAAATATCTAGAACATTTGTTTTTTCATATTCAGTTTTGCTGGTATAATAAAATCTGAAAATGAAGTAGACAAAGCTTTTCAATAAGTGAAAATTGGATAAATCTGGTTGAAAATTTATGTTGAAAAGTGGCACCCAGATGCACCGTTCCTACCCAGTAATTAGCTTTAATTACAAAAGAACTTTTTTTTTTTGAAAAACAAGAAACTTTTTTCCGTCTTCTTTCCAAGCCACTAATTTTTATTTTTATCTTTATTTTTTTTTTCCTCATTTTTATTTTTATCAAACTTATCAAACTAGCTACTTAGCAGCTCTACCACTTTTCATCCCTATCCTTTTCTATTAAGTTTGTGCTATCAGCTGTATCAAGTGGTATTAATGGCAGGTATAATTGGACGTCACGTCGGATCGTTGCATTTGACTGAGTACAAATTCGAAATCGATTCATTCGCTCAGTACTACGGAAGTTTGTCAATGGAAAGGTTCTATTGTTATGGATGGAGTCGTTCGCATTTCCGGCGTTGTCAACGTAGTAGGTTAGTGGATGTGTTGTCAAGGTGCGGACTTCACCGTCACCCTTTTCTACCAAGGACAGAGGTTATCGATTGGTATTATCATTGTTGGCCGTCTGAGGATAGGAATGACATTAACTTTGTTTTGATTGCTATGGGAAGTCGATGGGACCTCTGTTAATGACAGCAGTAAACGATGATTTGTGGCTGTTGATGTTTATACCTTCACCACTCCGCACGGCAACCTTTACGTCACGTCCTCGATATTTTCAAGAGACTGAAAGCTCACTGATGCATAATTTGTACCGTAAAAGTTGATATTGCTCATTAGTGAGAATAACTACATATTTGTGATGAGCATTATGAGAGTTACTAGTCTGAACAATTTTTTGTCAAAATCAAATTCAAGTTTCAATTGAAATTTAAATTGCTCAATTTTTTTTTTTCGATAAATTCATTTCTACCATGCCATCGTCTCTTTTCAAGCCACACATGAGCTGAAGTTCTTGAGAAATTCTCTAGTGACAAATTTGGTATTAATTTGGAATCTAAGTTAAAATTCGAAGTGAACTGATCTTTGTTTACATGATACTTTATCGATTTTTCTCCTCCATTTGTTATTGTAATTCAATGTGATACTTAATAAATCATCAAAATATATCCTTGAAGTGCATTGCTCGAAGGAGTCTTAAGGTCGATTCTTTCTTTAGTTTTTTCCTTTTTTAAAGATTAAAAAAATTTCATGGGTCGCTTTATTGGCAAGAACTTAATTTATCGACTCTTTCAAAAGAATAGATAGTTCACTTTTTATTAGTCTAAAACCACATCGCTTCCTCATATTTACTTGCATTAAAGAGTTAATTTTCAGTTGTTTCCTTCAATTTTTATTCTCTTCTGAAAATAGAAAAATGGAACTTCTAAAAAATTTTATATAAATAAACTAAAGATTTTTTTAATTTTTATCAGTTGTAACATTTCGGATCTTTATAATATTAGCTTTCATAGGCAGTTTAATTCTTTTGTGATTTTAAGCATTTGAAGTTAATTTTAAAAAAAGAAAAAACTCTAGTAATCAATAGTTTTATTTCAGACAAATCGTAAATTGAGAATAAAATTTGATGACCTTTACTGATTATATATTGGGGTGCTCATTTCCAGCAATCACCATCATATCGGTGACATTGTCATCATTTTGTCACACAATTAACGCTCTTCTTCATTTCATATATGCCAGGTATGGATGATTCTGCTACACAAATTCTAAAATTCGATTCTCTGATGATTGGTCATTATCACTCCACTACTGCTCATCTAGTCAAAGCTTCCTTTGCACTGTGTTCTTTTTCTCTCATTTCATCCTGCATTCCAAAATTTCCAGCAGGGTATATATGAGAATGGATTCCTTAAATTTCAGTATATCTATTTGTTTCAATTGTTTCGCAAAGCTTTCACTCTTTCAAAATTATCATAATTATTATCTTACACTATTTTCCCACTGTATAAAACTAGACAAGTTCTTAAATTAGACTATCATTTCAAAAAATTCCTCACAGCCACTTATTAAAATTTCATTAATCTGTGTTGGAGCAAAAAGTAAGACAAAATGTTTGTTGGAAACCGTTGAATTGTATTTTGGTATTAAATGTATGTGTGAAATTTAGGAAACAAAACGAGTTTTTTTTTTTTTTTTTTTCATTATTTTCTCTTGTTTTCTTTTTCTCATTTCTTGAGAAATTTAATATTTTCAGCAAATGATTTAGTGATTGCTGAAAAGAAACTAAATATACTCCCATCATATCTTTTTTACTTCATGACTTGATCTCTTACATTTAAAACAGTATTATCCGGCACTTATAATTAGTAAAATTTTTAGCTGAGCTATTGTTGTTGGCCTTGTTAATAACCGCTCTTCCTGTTCTGCTGATTCATTAATGTATTGGCCAACGTTGTATCTCGACCACATTGTATGTCGCTACCAGTTTCAAAATCCCTTTCATATCTTGCAATTTTTAAAACCTTCTTTGAATTTTCTAAAATACACTCATTGTATTTGGTTACTTTTTACCGCCACTTCAAGATAAAAGAATTCTGTATTTTTCATGCACATATATTCTTTATTAATGTTAAATTTTTGGTGCTGTAAACGTTTGGTCTATTAAACGATGTGATTGGTTAGATAGACTCAAAACCCGTGCAAATAGGTTACATAAATGAAGTTGAAACCGACGTGATGGTATAAAGTCATTTTCATTGCTGCTGTAGAATTGAAGCGGAAAGATACTAATATATGGGAATAACAAGAGGCTTTGGGCCTACTCTACTGATGCCGCAACCCAGTTCACAACAGGTACTAAGTCTATGAATTAAATGTCCGAAAATTAAAAAATTTTTATTCTGAAGAAAAAAGGAAGAAATTTAATATTTGCTTGTTAAATATCCATTGACGAAGCTCATGGACTAGTCTTTAACTCTTCCGACGTATTCATTTTCTAAGCTTGCTATAAATAACAATAATATAATGAAAAGTCCGATATAATGACAAAACTGCTAATCTTACTGATTTGAATTCGAATTTCTAATCAATCAAATTTGAAATTGCAGTCAGGTGGTTGGCGGCAGTCACTGGCTGCTTTATTATGCATACTACTGTGCTTCATTGTGTTGCTTTCTGTCTGTTGTATTGGAATATATCTGATTAAAGATAAACCTGTTTATGAGGAACTTATTGACTACTTGGATAAATCGATTGCAATTAGCAAAATTAATTACAACCAACAACTTGGATTTTTTGAGCTTGAAGAAAATGAGCTACAAACACTAGAACAACATCGGATGGTTCGTGTAAATTAACTTTTCTGGTTTGAACTTCAAAAAGGTCTTTCATTAATGATAGTAACGTTCAAATTTCAAAAAATTTACATCTGTCATTTTCCTTTTTCCAGTACAAGACCTTGCTGTGGTTATTTTTATTCGCCGATTTGGGATGCTACTTTTTCTTGACCATTTGTATCTTCATATATCTGACTACAGATACAAATAGAGGCAAAGCACATGTTGTTTTCTGGGTAAGTTTTTTTACATCTAATACTTAATGTTTGATGTGATACAAAAGCTCTAGTAATACTTATGAGTCATTTTTTTTTTTTTTTTGGTGTTCCAAAATTTAAAATCTTTCAGTTAAAAAGTTGGGTGGAATGAAACTAAGAACTGTTGAGTTTTCAGCTATTTTTTGTGTTAGCAATATTATATTGTATAACGGAGGTTCACGTGTTGGCATTCATGATTTTCCCGCACGCATCACTGTTACCAGGTGTCACTGAGAATTTGTTAAATCATGCGATACCGTACAATCCTGGTGGACTGGTACAGATGGAACAAAGACTCGGATGTATTTTCGATTTAAATCTTTACGCTGCACAAAAGAGGAAGCAAAATCCCTTGGCAAGTTTAGCAACCACATAATTTGCTTTACAATTGTCCTTCGAAAAATAGATCTTTCGACTTTAGAAACATCTATTAATGTTAAGTGATTATAGTAATAATAATTGGTAATAACTAATTTAGTGCAGAAGGAATAGTGAAAGTTTTTTGTCGAAAAGAGGCAAGTATCATCCTACTGTATAATAGTCCAAATGCAACATCCTAGACAAAAGGTTACCGTTAAGAATATTTCAATGAAGATAAACTGGTTGTAAACATTAAAATATTAAAAATCAATTCATTATGAATAAAAGTCACCATGGCATTTCAGAACACTTGTGATCCATACATTTCCTCAGCTTTCATAGGAAAAGGTGTACTATGGACACTTTTGGCTCTACGTTTGATGCCAGTGGTTATATTTGTAGTGCTGATTAGCAAAAAGGTTACACTGAGTGAGGCGATGGCAACAATAGCAGAGCGATTCCGAACTGTAATAAGATCTGGCAATGCAAGGAACAAGTTAGTTCTTCATTTTCTTATCACTTTTGACACTGTAACTAACACCAATCCATCTACTATGCATTAACGTTACGTCATGTAAATAAAATAAAAATTTTCATTTTCAGGAAAGTAAACTACAAACAAAATTTTACGAATGGTAAAACGACAGTAATAGGTGTCCGGTCAACGGCAAGCACTCGGTGAGTTCGAAGTTCCTTCTTTGTGATCTTGTGAATGAACTGGAATCTGCACCAAAATTTTACATTCGAAGCACTGGTTTTTAGGCCGAATGTTGCATCACCACAACCAGCTCTCTCATTACCTGTCGATAACGACCATAGCACAAGGTATTACTACTATAAAACAAACGCCAATGATGCTAATTTAACGGCTCTAACTAACAACACAGGTGTTTGAGTGCAGCTATACATAACCATACCTTAAGCTCCTAGACAATCTCTTCTTAACCTCAATTCCACTTGAACTTCAATTTGTTTTGGCATGCTATAATTTGCAGATCTGCATTCTATCAGCATACTTCAGAGATGAACGCTTTGTGCTTACATTTCTGCTTTTAACTGGTGAAACTTGCCACCAGCTTATTTCATGTATAAATAATCTTACACGGCCTTAAAATAGTAATACTTTTGATTACAGTTACAACAATGCTGCATTCTTCGCAACATCAGGCGCACCTGGCCTCATTGGTTTAAATAGCTCGAGAAGTAGCGAAATATCAAGGAGTGATGCTATTGATTTATATAGGTTATAGACTTAAATTAAAGAAAAATCTATACATGATCATTTCCAACTACTTCTTTAGTAATAAAATATAATTTCAGACCACCGGTGCAGACAAGTAGTAGTATAATGTCAGAAGTTTAACAATGAGTACGAGAGATTTCTCAAATGAAATTGCTAATTTCAAAGAGCAGATGAGACGACAGTATATCCTTGTACTTTTTCTTGCCAAATATGTCATAGTACAAATTTTATTAAACGTGATGCGACGCGAAATGTACTAAATGGAGAGCTTTTTAGAAGATATGCCGTCTCCAATCTATTAACCGTTATCATTGATGAATTCTTCCACATGTTTCACCTATTAAATCAACTCTTTAAATTCATAACTTTACCAATATTTATATTTGCTTCAAGAAATATCGAATTTGAAGCTAAATTTTCAGAAAGTTCGTGTCCACAAAAAACCAGAACTATATAAATAAGTCTTTCATGTATTTAATTATCCACTGGATAATTTATCAGAAAATGTGACAGTATTTGCTTTTATTTCATTTGTACCCTATAAAATTGCTATGAGACGATTTTTACAGATTTAGCGAGAGTAATTTTGATGAAAATAATTTAGAAACTATTAATGCTGTTTTATATGAAGATTGAAGTTATCTGAACCATTTTTTAAACTTTTATTAGTATTGAATATTTCGAAATGCGGTTTCTGTCACCGTTATCATTATTTCACTAAATGCCTTCGCAATATTTCATGCTCCACGCTGTCAGTACTTTTTCACGTACCAGATTCATTTTTGCTGAAAGTTATTGCTTGAAGAAGCTTGAAAATAATCAATGTCTAACACTTAAAGCACATGAACTTAAAGCCTTCACGTGCCAAATCACAAAGATTGATCAGTTTCACATCTTAAATGCTTTAATGCTATAATATGAAAACATATATATATATGCAAAACGAAATTTAGGAATTGAATAACAATCACAATATACTAAAGAACATGCTTTTCGTAAGCTAATGACGACCTGTTTAGTCCCGAAGATTTCGGATTTCCTTAATCTCTCTGGTTTTGTTTCCTAATGCTTCAGATCGTTAATTCCCTCATTACATGCTCTTGTTGCCTAACTTGTAACGTTCCTTAAGATTGCCATTTCTTTTTTTCACGTCAGGTTAATTGCATTAAAGACTCCTAATTCGAGTTAATACTCTGAACATGAAAATGATTGAAAGTTTCGAGAAAATGTATCGGAATTTCTGTTGCTCATTTGAAATAAGTATTAGTTAGAGAATGTTTTTTGTATTTACTAAATTTCGTTTTTTTAACATTATATACAAGCAAATAATGATAACAACTACTTGGCACAACATTATACACAAGAAGTTTTACTTTTCATCTAGATTAGATTCATTCAGGAATTATTTCATAAATGCACAACGTTAATTTACTGATATTTCATCCGGAAATTCTGAAAATTAACAGTGAGAGGAACAGGGGAGTAAAAGCAAAATAATTAGTTGGTAAATAACTGTACAACAAAAGAGGAGGGATATGGTGTGACCATGATATTTTGATATATGAGACAGAAAATGAAGATTTCTGGGAAACAGTAACTCTTCAAACGAACTGTAATTAAAATTGCTGCTCTTAATTTACAAATATGGAGAAGACAGCGCAAACGTTGGATATGTAAAGAGATCATTAAAAGTAAATTGTCAGGGAAAAAAATAGTTTTGCTTAGAGGAAGAAGTTAGATTATTCACAGAATAGTCGTACGAACGTGCCAATATTATATATGTCATAGTTCTTTTACCGAAATTTCTTTGGAACAATCAAAGACCTGAGAGCGGGATCAAACTTTTCATCTTGAATTATGTCTTTGTCGTTCGATACTACCTGCAGTTTAATAAAAAAGCAGTTAAGTTTCGACAAGAAATTTGAAAATTAAAAATTAAAATACATGAAGAAATTACCGCGCTCAACTTCTCCAGAATCTTTTTTCCCGACGAATATCTTATAAGTTTGTGCTGACTTTTAATAATTCGTTCCGCTAGTCTCTTAAACCACGAGTCGTTACCCACGCGTTTTTTTTCCTTTGCTTCAACAGCTATATCCAGCATTGTTTGTATAACATAATTGCCAAATTGATCAAAAAGCAGAACATCCAGAGCATCATGTCCTTTTCTGGAAAATTTGGAATTGGTTGAAAATGGTCACCTCAAGTTCATCCAAACGATACCTATTAAATTTACAAAAAACTCTTCACACTATTGTAATGGACAAAAAAGCACGTGTCACATTCATAGCCATCAAAAATTTCGTCCATCATTGCATGAAGGAGCTTGGGCGGAGCATGCTTTAACGCTTTTTCAACAACGTGTGAAGCATACTTTTCCTGCGACATTGATAACAAATTGCTTCTGAAAATAACTTTTAAATGTCCAAATTCAACATACAATAAAAGCAAGAATTGCCAGTCTCCAGAACTTGAAAGATTTCATGAGAAAATTCAGTATGATTATTTAACTTACGGACAACAAAAAAAGAATAAGTCCTCGAAATGCCATTTGAAAGTGGGTGAAAACAATATAACTGCGGTGCATCAGTGACTTACAGAAGTTCACATATTATCGTACTGCGATACTTTTCCAGTGTATTCGATATTATGATATGTTGAATGACATAATTTGCATACTGATGAGCTGAATAAGACCAACAGTCCTTTAGAATCATAGAAACAAGCTGCTCAAGAAGCGAAGTGGCAGGTTTGGAATTTTTTACAACTTCCTCTTCTAACTTCTGCAACGTCATCGTATAAATATGAATGAAATTCAGATGTTATGAAAAATATCACCCGCATTGTTGTGATTACTATTTCTGCTGAAACGCATTTTCTTTCTACCATTAAGTGTTCGCTGTCTTGCATTAGTTATTACTTTTACCAACCACAGGATGATCAATGAATATTAAAAAAAATCAGACGTGGAACCACAAAAAATCATACCGACCAGAAAGACCGACAAATATTTTAATTACCAAACAAGGATTATTCATGCGCACAGTCAGCAATGGAAACTGCAAAGTTACTACGATAAAGATAACAGATTCCAAAAATGTTAATTTATGAGATAACTGGTTATGTCCGTTGCATCACAGTTTTGAAAGTTTACTTCAATTGATAACTGAATAACTCGGCAACCATATTTGTCCTTCATAACTTCATTTAAAATATCCATTGATGCGACATACTTATTAACAATACCACTGTATCCATAAAAAGGAACGCATGAAAAAATCTTCTGAAAAAATTATATTGTTTACAGAAATGGACCAGTGTCCGTTAGCACAAAGATGACGGTCGCCAATACATGTCATGTTATGATAAACTAATACTACGAATTTTCCATTTAGTATCAGCTAAAACCTGAATAACATGGTTCCCGTTTTGGTCCAACGATAGATCCTTCTCAGCTCCATCCAGTTTGCCTACCAGTGACAAACAATTCGCGACATCGAAACACTCGAAAGCTTTCTGCACTACTCGACATGAATAGCGACCGTGACTGAATGTTACCATGTTTGTTTCAAGAAGTGAACAAATAGTTGCCTGCTCATTACTTCGCGCCTCTTCGATCAATTTCTACAATATAAAGCAGCAAATGCAAATCAGTTCATTTAGCGAATAAGTTTGGAGAGTCCAGCAAAGAAGCTATGAACTCTGTTTTCTTCCTGATCAACTTTGATATCTGCGAAATAGATATAATTCGATTACACGAAGCAAACTCACCTGGAGGAAGAAATTGGCAAAGATATCATTACACAATTTGATGAAGATGTCCATTTTCAGAAAATAGTCCGTAAGTTTCTGCCGAATGAGCACATCTCCACCAACAAAAACTTTTTGCAAAAAGCTAAAAAAGTTAACAATCATATTAATAAGGCTTTGTAGCTGAGGAAGTCCCAACGAGCAAAATAACATTCACTTTTAAATGAATCAAAAGATAATTTCAAGAAAATAGCTGCAATGATGAAAATACTGTTACTAATAGGATAAAAAGTCCTGTCGTAAATTCAACAAACCTTAGAAATTAGGAGTAGCATTTGTACTGCTTTAAAATACCTTTTCTGTGATGCTTAAACAACAAAACGACGCAGTGTGGAAGTTTCTTTTAACTTTTGGTCCTTTTAGCACTTTATTTAAAAAATTTTTTTTTACTGAAGGAAGGTGAAAGGAATACATGATTTGATCCTGTTAGACTAAATGTTACAAAAATCATATTGTATACTTGAACAGCTATCTTTCGAGAGACTATCCAGATTTGAATTTTATATCAAAAAAAAAAGTGTCCTATATGGTAAACCATACCAGTGCAATAGAATGACGCTTGAGAAAAATTTCTAAAAGTTCTAAGAAAGCAAAATTAAAACCGTGAGCCACGTTTGTCGATCGCATAATCATCAATTCTTCCAGTTTCAATCAAATGCTCGGTGAATGCTCTAACTACAAATGCATCATCGGATGACGGAAACTGTAGCAAGGTTATGCTGAAATCGCATACCTTTGTTCTCAAATCACCTTTCACTTTACGCAGCTTTTATCAGTGAAAATGAAATTCTAAATATTCTTTTGTCACTTATATTTGAATAGTGGGAAGATCAACTTAAGTGTATGTATAAAGAATTCTTTTCTTAATGGATCTCTGTTAACATCAAGTTCAAGTTCCCTGAACATTTGCAAGTTACCGGATCATTATGAGCTTGAGTTTGTCGGACAATGGTTTCACAACTGTCAATTAAGTTTTAAAAGAGAGCCGTATGAATACCGTGTACATTTACGCATGAAGAAAAAGTTCCACTCTTTATAGAATGGAGTAGACTCTTTACAATGGAACATACTCTTTCTGGTTATCGAGACCACGCACAGCTGTTAATGGTGGAGACGAATTAGAAAGCGGAACGACATAGGGAGGCACTGCAGGATATAATACCTTAAATTATTGAAATTTAGTGTGATATTAAAAGATTTTAATCGCTGATTTCAGCAATTATATGTGAAGTGTGAGTAACACTATCTCTTGTTACCGGATTTGACGACATTTGTTGCGGCACATTTGGTCCAACCAATGAATTAGCGACTCGGTTTACTTGCAATTCAGGATTGAGCCGAACTGAAAGACCGATCTGTTACCTTATTAAGATGGCCTCAACTTCTATAGTTCAGAGTCAAATCTAAAGAAGTTTGAGATGTGAATAGTTCTACCTGTATATCCGTAACGATGAAAATTCACCGACTCGATAGGCCATGGCGGTGCACGGAAAATTTGTGCAACTGCCGTTGCTTGGTTAAGTATGTTTATGGATTGTAGCATTTCTGTACGTAAGCTAAAGACTGAATTCTTTCTAATTCTGTAAACAATTTTAAATAGCTCTTTGGACTTCATTTTAATTTATCCCTTGTGTTACATTTGTCTAACAAATTTTAACTGCTAGAAAGGTCAAAAGACGATAAATAATGTAGAATTGTCTGTCTCATTAAAAGGAGGGTAATAAGAGCTAAAACCCTTTTCATTTCTAACTAACCCACTTCCCAAACTTAAGCTTGAAAGTAAAAGTGATAGGAAAAGAAAATCCAATTCTCAATTGAAAAACACACAGAAAGAGAGGAAAAAAGGGAAGGGAGGAAGACAGGAAGAGGGGACAACCTGGAGACGGTTCACACGTAGATTGCATATAGGAGTACTTGCAAGAAACGACGAAAGGAGCAGAAGGAAATGAATACGTAAGCTTGCTTGTGTGACGGAGAGTGCAGTGGGGGATGACAGAAGCTTCATCACCTCCCTTCCCACAACTCATCCCCGTCCCATTCAGAGATCCCCGCTTCTCATCAGTGCCTACCCGCCAATTATCACTCCCATGAAGCTCCTGCATCTCCTTCTTTAGTTACAGTCCCTATTTGAAAATTGCACGTAGACATTTCCGCGCTATGCTTTATAGTCTTCGGACCAGCTTGTGCTCATTTAACGGACAATTTTGCTATGGGAGGGTACTGTAGGCGGATTAGGGGTCATCTCAGATTAGCTTTCGATTCTTTGATATTCAGAGGGATCGTTTTATAGAGCAAATGAAATAGTAACTTCTTTCTCTTCCTTTGCTGTATCCTCGGATCATATTGCTGAGGACATATTTCAGAAACACTTTTCTAATTTGAAATCTGTCACTGTTAGTATTTTAGTTACTCTCACCGCACAGATTTTCTTTGGCTACTCCAATTCTTACCCTTCTTTTTGTTGAGAAAAGTCACATAACTGGGTCACTTCTGATCGCTATTAGCTTTTCATTCTTCCGGTAAATATTTGCTAAATCACCTGAAATACCACTTTAGTGGATGCGACACCAGTGGTTGTGAACAGAAATATATATATATATATATGTGTGTGTGTATATATGTGTATGTGTATGTCTTTGTCGAACACATTTGCGAGTCTGTCACTGTGGTCGCTCAGTGGTTCTCCTCCATTGGTTATTTCAAAGCATTTCATCAACTTCGCCCACCCGTGACATCCCCTTTACCGGTTGTGTATCGTCAACAGCTGCCTTATGTTGTAAGAGAAAAGAACGAGTTGCGCACTAATGGTCTTGTCCTCCTTTCAGCTATACTGTCAACCACTACTATTGAAAATTATTTTCACGAAGGCATGGAAGTTCATTCGCTGTTTTCATTCCTTTCTTATCACTGATTCATATCAATGTTTCAGAGCGCTCTGTTATTTAATGAATTAAATTTAATTCTTATATCGTTTTTCTAATAGTACTTCCCATCTTCCAACATTCTGTTAAAAATTAAAAATTAATTTATTAATGGCTGATAACCATACTGCGACCAACAGGTACATTTATTTGTGGTTTAAAATGTAAGTATTTCTGTTGATGAGAAACTGCTGGTTTGTTCAGATAAAAATCTAAACTCTTTTTAATATTAATGATTGTTAAGTGAAATTAAAGGTTTCATGAAAACATTCTCAGTAAGTTCTTATTCAGAGTTACTACTTGCAGGATGTGAGTATAGTTAGTTATATTAGTAAAGAAAGATGTGTTTCGTCAAACAATTAAATCAAGAAAGATAGTGTTGTTAGCTACGTAATACACTTCCGAAAATCGTTACATGTATTTAAATGTATTTAAAATAAATTTGGGACTTTATATATATATATATATATATATATATAATCTTTTATGTAATTATGTAGAGAGTTTACCTGTTAGGAAAAAATATTGTTGTCTTTTTTGATGTTCAAGATGAATGGGCATTCAAGATGAGTATGTATTTGCATTTAAGTCTCATTTTTATTTATTGTTTTCATTATAGGTATTTACCAAATTATTCTGGAGAATCTAAAAATTAGTTGGTTTCAATCAATGCGAAAAATCTGGAGAGGTAAAATTTCTGCTTTAAATTTTTTGATTTATTTTGAGTCATTTTTAAAAAATGCGCTGAAACGGTTTTTGTTGAAAATGTCAGTTCATATGCCGTAAGTAAATGTTTCTTTTCAATGATCAATGCAAGCAGTTCGAAATTTCTTTGCTTACATTTCGGATAAATATTTGATAACACCTGAAATGTGTGAGAATGCTTCGAGTACATTCTTTTCTAAGAAATATATGATTGTTTTTTTGTTGTTGCATATCTTTTTAACTTTTTTTCACTAAACTGAGATTTGATATCTTTGAATCTTTGCTTGCTTATGTAGAACAACCCTAAATATCTATGGAGGTGATTATGTGCAAGCTCTTACACTTATTGTTGCTATTCAGTATCTCCCATAATTTATCGCTCGTAGGTTGCAACCACTGAAACGCAACAAGTTCTCTATTGAAACGTATCCGAAATGTAAGCAAAGAAAATCCTCTTTTAGAAATATATTTAATCATAGGCAGTGTGTGACACATGCAAGCATTTCATGGCCAAGCTTTTGAATTCTTAGCTTTTCTAAAATGGGATGAAAATTTTCCGGGGTAAACAAACACTTTTGTTTAGTACAAATTCTTCTTAAATTTTGCTAAAGTGACTCTCGCATACCTATGTGTCCTTCCCGTAATGGACAGCAATTTAAAATGGGGATATTATTGGACCGTTTCTTATTCTGGTATGTAAATTTGCCTAAAAATATAATTGTTATTTAAAAAACCAGAAATGCAGGCTGAGAGAATTATATATATATATATATACATATATATATATATATATATAAAAGATTATCATAGTTTGAATGTTGATTAAATAAAATTCTATCTGTCTTTTAATGTAAGTTGTATTCTTCCCATATATGAAAACGTTATAGCAAAAGGGTATTGTACAGCAGAAATATTTTGACCATTTTTTTTTTGCTTCTGTCATATCATGTAGCAATGTCTTTTAGAACTTAGTTCCAGTTCAATAAGGATGTACTAATGCCAGATGTTGTCTAAATGGACACGGCGAGGTGCGCAATTGTTTGCGGTATACCTTGTGACGTATCTTATCATGACAGTGGTAGACAACAGACGTATCGTTGATCAAACACAAGCTCCAACCAAAAAAATTTCTGATGGTCCACTAGTTATAAAGGATTCTCCCGAAAATATGAATAAAGAAAATGAACTCAATACTATCACAATACTGTATGTATTATTGCTTCCTTACCACTCTCGGTTTTTAATGCTTCAAAATTTAGGAATATAATGTGAATACCTTTAAATTAGCTGCTCATCTTTCCTGTTTCTCAATACAATTTCGGTTCTCCTTTAGTTTTTGTAGATCAGTTAATTCATTGGGTTCAAAAACACATCAAGAAAATTTGATACCTCATATGGTTAAACCAACGATACAGAAGGCGCCGATAATTACTAATGAATTCCTTGAGGTATAGTTATATACTTGAGTATAATTGTATTTTTACGGACATATGCTTCAAATCATCTAATAACATTTTGCAGGTTTATTTTTTGAAGTGATGGTAAGTTACTGGAGGATTATGAGAATGTAAGTTCTGTAAAGATTGAATACCCTGAATGGCTAGAATCATATCGTTAATATGCTGTAGCTATGCACAGCACCAAAACATTTTAAAACTTTTCATCTTTTAAACTGATCGAACAATAGTTCCGTAGAAAGAAATATCAAAAATGCTAATTTGCCGGCTTATACAAAGATTGAAAATAATGCTTTTGCCGAGTTTAAGAAAACGTTAGTAACAGTTTAGTTTGAATCTTCTTTAATCAATTCCGTCTTAGTAAGTGGTGCTGGCACTTGCAAATGATCTTAAAGACAATGGTTGAAAATTACAGAATTTCAAACGTGAAGCGAGAAAAGTACATTCGAGGTCAAGCGATTTTCTATTATTTACTTTAATCAATGGCGCTTACATGAATTTAACTCTAAACTGGTTGTGTAATGTGGCACCGTTCCCGACATCAATCCATCGTAAGACTTTAATTGTCAGCCTGGATGCAAAAGCTTGCAAAGTAATCCAGAGGATTTGGAAACAAGTGAAGTGTATGTATATTAAAGTGCACGGTGATTACAACAGTCCACTTAGTTGGGGACGACAAAAGTATATCAATCTACTCAGTCTTCGTTCACAACTTTTGCTTATTCTTGCAGAGGTTTGATTTACACAATCATTTATTTACTCAGTGTACCTTTGTTGTAACTTTACTTTTTAAATTAATGTATTACAGCTCGAACTACCATATATTTTATTTGAAACCGATGCGGTTTGGCTACGTGATCCCATGGAATTCTTTCAAAACCAAACCCTTATCGACGATGCTGATATTATTGTACCGACAAAAGGTTCATATATTCTTAAGAAATTGTGAATATAGACAAACCTTAATATATTTTTGTTGTTCAACTTTTTGCATCTGTATTACTTTACATGGGCAACAAGCGTGCTATAGAATATGAACATGAATAAGATATGCACATAATATTTATTTAGGTCTAAGTGCAGCACTCTATTGCCTAATTACTTGACGTTTGTAGGTTATCCAGATCATGATTTAACGTATGCATTCGACCCAATGATCGTGTATCCTTCAAATGCGTCTCTTGTATTAATGCGCGAATTAAATCTGCAACTTTCAAAAGATCCAAAAGTGTATGACCAGGTGAAATTTTTTATTCTAAACAAATCGTAAAAATATTCGGAGATAAAGTAAATTTGAACTGTCAGGAACTGTTCGATGAAACCAAATCAGGTGTTTTTAAAGTAATAAAGCACAGCAATGAAATAAAAACGTAGACTCGGAATAACTCTCAGTTGGCATGGAGTAATTGTTGAGTAATCGGATAATATCACGCTGTCATCCAGAGTATGTTTGTCACAGATTTGAACACAACAAAAAGGAAATCATTAACTAAAATAACACAATGCTCCTAATGATAGGATGTTCTGGACCAGCTATGTCGTCAACAACATTTTGGATTGGTATGTCGTCAGTTCGAATGGACTGAGGTAGCCGATGGTAAATGGTTTAAACTGTCGGAGTCGGAGCGAGCTCATCTGAGACCTTATATTGTTAACAACAACTACTACGTTGGCGTCGATAATAAAATCAGTCGTCAAGCACTAAATGACCTATGGTTCCTGTCGGTCAAGAACAACTGTAATTTCTCGAAGGTTCAAAATCTGCTACGCAAATATGGGTCGCAGATATCAAGTTATTCTAACGACGCTTGAAATTGAAATTGGTCAGAAAGTATTTTAATGCCACTAACATCTTTGAAACAATTCTCATTTCTCGAAAATTCAGCTTACAGTTGACTTTTTCTTAGTCATAGATTATTCAAAATTCAATACAACCAAATTTTTAAAATTTCGTATACTGGAAACTCCTGTATTCGTTTGTATAGTGGCATGTCCCTAACAATCCCAGTACTTCCCTTTGTCCCTGCTTTGCTTCACGGGATTTATTTTTACCTCTTCTTTCTTGCTACCAAAGCTTGTTAAAGTAGCTGTTTGATCAATGAATATGCTTTTTATTGACTTTCATGGCTTCTCTTCTCAAGGAATTAATTCTTGGTGGTGAACGAATCTGACTCAAACTTATTCTGTTGACTGGAGCAGGTGAACAAATATCAGTTCCGACGTCAAATTCGTTACTCTGTTGAAACAGAACCATTCGAATTGCTAGAGAGGCTCGCGTTAAAGCTGCAGCATATTAGTACCACTAAATTTCTTTCACAGCAGGTGGTCTCAGCTCTCATCATATTGATTTATTTTGAAAGTTTTTTGAAATAGAGCAGTACTAGGCCAGCTTTAAAATAATATGCGAAAGAAGTCCGATAAGCACCCTAGCTGCTGCTTTAAGAATTTTCCCTTCTACTCAACCTTTTCTTTTGTTTTCCGCGTTGTATATAAATTTTTCATGTTATATAGCGAAATTTCTTTAGACGATGCAAGTTCATAAGCTTCAATTATGTAAGCAAACTAATCAAATGTAATACTTAAATGTAAAAACTATCATTGAACCAGTTAAGGTCTATACGCAACTAGATCCGAAGTTTTCAATCATTTTGGAAAAGAGCCATATCTGAGATTCCGAAAGGAACAGTTGACAAAAGACAATATAAATTTTAGCATTTACGCATGACAATGATTAAGTTTATGGCTCTAGTCTTATAAGAATAAAATAATATCATTTGTTGCTTAAAAGTTTACCAGTGGTGGACTGGTTCCAGGAACCAATTCGCGACGTGAATGATTCTTACGATCTTACACATTTCATAATTCTTTCTATGAAAATGGAAGCGAATTTTCTGAGGTCAATCCGATAACAGCTCCTGAAATAAAACCCACAAATGGTCTTTAAATAAAGCTTGGCGAATCATTTGTAATGCTTGGTTTTTTTTACACTGTTGAGGTTGTAAAATTGCCAATTTTGATTACTAATAAACACTCATTCGTTGAACTCCGAATTGGAGTTTAACAGCTTTGAAATTTCTCGCGCTCAACAGTTAACATCAGGAATTCTACTATGGTCAAAGTGATATCGAACGATCGATAATTAAGCATTGCCGTTTAAACGTTGTAAGGTGGTTCTTTGTTCTCTGCCCCACATTTATTTTTGTTTATCTTGATTCTTCTAATGTTGCACCTCACCATCCCTCATCGCCTTGGCTGAAGAAGCACCCCGAGAAGATCGAAAGCATCATATTCTCTTTCAGTGATCCCCGGAATTTAAACCTTCCTACAATTTCACTCTCATTTTAAAAAAAAAAAAAAACCATAAACAAAACAGCATGAATAGCCAACATCTGTTCCTTTCACTTTTATATTTCCCCCTTCCCTTCTTAGCATTTCTCTTTTCTAAACTTTCTCTAATTGTATACGATCTATTGCAGATCACTTTGTTACTCCTTCAAAAATCATTTCTGGTCTGAATGTCACCTTCACTATGGGCTTACGAAAAAGCAGAGGTCAGTGAACCTGTTATAAGACACACACACTTTGTACTAATTTCTTGGTCTTCAATTTTTTAATTTGTGCCATTTTAAATTTGCCTGTAAGAGTGGCTATACAGAACAGAACAGACTATTCCTAATCCAAGTGATAACGGTTCTGAGTTTTGAGCCTGCCAATCAGAAGGAAGTGGAAATGAAATGCTAAAAGAGGTAGACTATTATTGAAATTTAATGCCATGCAGTGGAAGTAAATCGATAAGCTATTGATGTCGACGTGGGAAAGAAGTGCTGAAGCATGCCGCAATGCGCCAGATATGATGCTTACTTGCTTGTCGTACCCTATCTACCAGACACTGGTTACTTTTAAATCTTCATTAGTTTTCGTTTTTGGTGATGGAAGCGCTCTCAGATTTTCATCATTTCTCACGCCTGGCCAGTAAAAATGGTAGAGTTCCAGCCGGGCATTATGAATCTTTTTTTTGCTGCACGAACTGTCTGTGTCACAACCCACCAGATTCTGTGTTAAACTTTGTGATGCGTAAAATAATCATTTAAATAATAAGTTTTGCTCGTCACAGCTACTTTTACTTGATTGCTTCATTAATCTGATTACTCATCCATCGTGTTCCTTTCTTACGTAGTAGTTCTCACTGTAATACGGAAAGTGGGATTGAATTAAGGATTATTTAAAATCCATGAAAGAATGTGTGACAGTGACGTAGGGACTTATGGATTCGTATTCTTTGCTGATAAAAATATTTCTAGGATGATTCAAAATGTTCCTAGTAATACTTTAAAAGTGGTTGTGATATGATTTTCAAATCAAACTGACATAATGCTGAAAGTAATCCATTAACCACTATTTAAGGTATTCAAAATAAAGTCAGAGAATAGGAGAGGGAAAGCCAAATTAAAAGAAATCATATAAAAATGATTATTAGTAAGTTTCAAATAAAACGATATTCCTCCTGTATGTAAATAATAAGATGGGACATCCTGCTGACACTGGTGATATTATTTAATGTAAAGTATTTCAAGCCATTAATGCAGTGGACTGATTAGTCCATTTGTGAATGCATGCTTCATTAGGATTTGGGAAGATATGGCATGATGGGATCCACCGGTATAGAAATGAGAAAATCGCAGATCACTCGAATTCAATTAGCAAACAACAGCAGCATCACTGATATCATGGATCGAAGATCAGTCAGTTGGCCAAATTAGCCGAAATGTCGGTTGTTCATTTCTTGAGCAACACGATTATTTGTTAGTTTACGCAACTTCCGGTACACATATTTATGTGTGATAAATTCCCATTGAGCCTATATAACTCAGATTCTGAACTCTTGCTTCATTAGTTCGAATTTTGAACCTGTTTATAAACATATTTCCAAGTGGTTACTATTACTAAAGGGAATTTATCAAACAAACGTTATCGAAATAAATAAAAAATTTGGAGGAGACATTTCGATAACTCTTGTCAGCTTAGAATAGAAATAATATGAAAGAGGTTTGTATCAAATAAAAATAAAATGATATATTATAAACATATGGCAGAAAGTAAAGCATATAATAATAGAATCAAGATTTCTTGCATATCCTAGCAGGTTTATATGATACTCCATTATCAGGCCAAAAGTGTCCGTCACTCAGAACAATTCGACTTTAAGTAGGACACGATCCACTACAGCCTTCATTGAATATATTGCAAACTTCAATTCAACCCGCTTTGTATTTTGCTCAAATTTTCAGGAAACCCTGTTATGCTTTTTCTGTACCACAAATTGTCTGATTTGAAAAGTCTAAATAATATAATTTTTAGTAATACATAATTATCAAGTCTCAATTTCCGCGTTTCACCTTTGAACCTGAATTAAATTCCAGTACTTATTAGATGCACTTGTTTCGTATAATTCTCAGTACTAATTACTTCTGGCCTCATGCTGAAGCAAATAAAACCGACAGCAATAAAATGGATATCAAAACTTTCATCCTAGGTATATTTTGTTTCTACAACATCCGCATACAAAAGAAATTTCAAATGCATATTACTTATCGCAAAGAACTCGGAAGCTTCACTATCCTCAAAGTGCATAAACTTTGACAAACATTTTCAATCTTCATCTTTTTTCTTCGGGTTTTTAGAAGCGAATAAATGTCATCGTATATTTGTTGAACTATTTCATTTCAAATTTTAGATTTTTCTTCAGCTAATTTTCCTACAAACTTCTTTAGTTTATTCTTAAAAACCGACGTAATTCTAAAACAAATTTGACTGACACTTCTGTTTGCCTCAATAACGCCAAACTTTTATATTTATGTTCACATTTACCACTGTGTGAAGGATATAACTATAACTAGAAAGAAATTAAAGCAAAATTTAGTTACAGTCAAAAAATTACTGAGTAAATTCTTTTAATGAGTAAAGGAAGCTATTTATATTTTTTACTTTCTTTGTTACAGTTTTTCTTTCTGTGCATTTTATTGTTTATTTCAATATAATACAGAATTTTGTCCATCAAAAACTATTTGGATTTTATGTAGTTCAAAATAAATGCTGGCACATTTGATGCAGGACAAACTGGCTTTGGTGAAAGCTAACAAATGAGTGAAGGACGAAAAGCTGATGATAAATTCTTACTTCATTGATTCAAAATGGAATCCTGGGAAGCTAGCATCTCATTTGGATTTGAAAATAAATTAACAAGCAAGCTTCTATCGACTTTACACTCCCAATTATAAGATATTGTGCTTCTATCACAAGTCTTGAGAAAGTTTTCTTGAAAACTTTGACACCAAGTTTCTTTTTTGCATGATTTATGCCATTTTTGGAATTTCATATAAGACAATTTCCTAATGTTTGTTCCTTCCAGAATTGACAATATTATTGAATTATTCTTGAAATTGTTGATTGCTTAGCGCCTTTATTTTTGCTTTTTATCTTTCTTACGTACTTCTTCATGCCCACTTAAAATGAGAGAAAGCAGTACTAATTATAAGTAATGTCTTTTATTCCTATATTTCGCCAACATTAAAATCTAAGCCATTTTCCACGATTGTTTTATTATTATTCCTACTATGTAGCTTGCAGAATAGTCTGATAAACTTTAGCAAAAATTTTAAAAACTAGTAAGTTGGATAGCAAATTTATTTTGTAGGTATGAATTCAATCCTAAAGTCAAATAATCAATCGTGATGCTATTTTTTTTTTTTTTTTTGTCAGAATGCACAGTTATTTTCTTATTCTTGCAATTATAGATATAAATTTGTTCACTGAAAACGATCCATCAGTTCCGTTTTGATGTGAGTGGTTACCTCAAAACTGTCATCAAAATTTAAAATATCACACTTGCTGAGACGATTAAAATGCATGTTACTTGTGATATATCACTTTCTAGTTGATTTGTTTTTTTTTAATTTCACTTTTTCATTTTCAATTTTGTATTGTTTGTTATTTTAGGTTTCATTAACTCTTTTAAAAATGTATTTTCAAATCATAAGAAGGGAAAGCGATTTTAACAATCGAACTTCGCTAAAACATTGGTAATGCTGAGATTTAGTCTCATGAAATAGAAATTTGCTTCAAAATGTTTTATCTTTCTCATATCCTTAATTTTTTATTCAATAACATTCTCCGGCACTACTTACTAATTTAAGGAATAGATCAATGTTTCCAGGTATAAGATGCTTATTCCTACCACTGCACTGGCACCGGTCTAATGACAATAAAAATTCAAATATGACTACTAGAAAATAACGATAAAGTCACAAAATGTCGTTTTTGTCGTTTTTGGCAAAATAACAATCAGTTCCAGGCATGAAAAATGTGGACTTAGCAATATTTGAATGTATTTTAGTTTTTGCCAGAAATCAATCGTTCTATAGAAAAAATTTACCATTTGTAACTTCAATTGCATATATTATTCTGTTCCAAGAATTTCAAGGACTCATCTATTGTTGGAAATATTATGGAAGTGCCTAAGCGAAAGAAATTATTTCCTTAAAATTGTAACAATCAAAATACAATATATTGATATAAGAATTACTTACCTGTGTGTACGACGACTTTAAAATTTCACAACTCTGTTTGAAATTTATCTCTAAGGCAATTTTGTTATGTGCACTCTGTCTAAGCTGCACTATTAATCGATTTGTGAACTTTTGTATCAGACCTTTTCTCGGAAGATGACTAACTAACCCTTTATTCTTTTTCGTTTATCATTTTACTTTCGCTTTTTGTTTCAAAAAAGAGAAAAAATATGTCATTTGCTCATTTGTTCTATTTTTTGTATGCTTGATCTGGCTTGCCAAAGCAGTGTGGACATACTGAAAATGAGAAGCTAATCGAAGCATAGTATTAGTGAAAGTTAATCAATAATAAATACTATGTGTCGAACCAACTGAAATCTACCCAAAACCACTTTTCCTTTTTAACGAATTGAAAAAGTACCTTTTTTTGAAAAGAAAAGAAAATTGTGTTCTTTTGATGCACACATAGTATGTAGAGGGCGAAACTCTAACGTATGAAAAAAATGAAAAGCAAAGGAAATCTACTAGATTTACCAATAATAAAGCTTCTAAAAGACACAAAAAAGCTTTTATACTTGTTATATTTATGCCAGTTAATGTTACCGCTCAATTTAATTATTGTTCGGAAAACATACAAAGAAAAAGGTAGAAGTTAAAACGTAATCAGTGCAATTATTTTGATCATAACTAGAAATTACGCCACATCCCTTAAAAATAGTCTTCTCACAGTTAATTGATAGTCCACATTAGCAAAAAAGTGTCCTTAAAACTATGTAAAAATGCTCTTCCATTAATTGACTTGATATTGCTATAGACAAAGTAATTTGAAATTCAAAAATGAATACAGCAATAGTTGTATTAAATTGAAAACAGAAAACTGCCCAAAAGTGATATATGGATTGATTTTTAATCAATTGAAAAATGCTTCTTTCCATTGATATTACTCGGTGGGATTAAAAGCACATATTTTCCAATTCGTTCATCTCAAATTAGAGAACTATTGAAAAGCATTTCTTGCATTTTCTGAGCAAAAACTTGTCAAAATGCTGATATAGAGAAGGTGTGAATTTGCAGAAGTAACTGACTGATCGAATATGACGGATAAGACAAAACTTGGTATTCAGTATTATTTCTTCCTCGTCGTATATAAATCACTTTTCGTTAAACATCAGAATAGAGTTCAAGGCTGATTTGTTCTTGTTCGTAAGACATGAGGACAAAATAGTTATGTTCTTGTTGAATAAGACAAGTGATTTAGACTAAAAGCATTTTAAAACACCAGTTTGTCATTGTTGAACTTTCGTTGAAAGGTCGTAAAATATCTGACGTTAAGTTTTCAACAACACAAGTAGTTATAAGCTTTCATCCATCACTGTTTTCATTAGTCAGTATCAATTTCAGATAGTTGGTCACTATTTTAAAACTTCTTCAACCGTCACCGTACTGCATATTTAGCTAACAGCTATTGGACCAGTTATTGATATTTTGCAGTTTCATGAATCATTTTAGAGTTATATTGAATCGCTTCCCTAATCAAAAATATGTATATATATAAACTAACAAAATATGGCAATAAATGATTTAAAATTTTAGTTGCTTTTGCACCAAACTCAATAACTTTTTAAACAGTATCCATTTTATGAAACCAATCAACATTCCGAATTACGATTTCAAAACATTTCACTTATTTTATTGAATGCACTAATCTTTTTTATACGTTTTTCATCGTGTGCTTTCTATTTCGAATCTTCAAAAATAGTTCTACTTCATTCATTCCTTAGATTACTATTAGTAGCAGAGTATCCGTAAAAAATATTCAACTCTGAAACAAAAAAACTCGAATAGTTAAAATGATCGCTACAGATCACTGGAACAATATATTACGAATTGCTTGTGAAAAGCTATTTCAAAGGAAATGTCAAAGAAAACGCAGCAATAAGCATTAACAATGGATGACAGTGAAGCGGACATACAGTCTAATGAATTGCAATTTGTTTGGGAAGCAATGACACCTGAACTTCAGGTAAAATAAGAGTTTTATATGGTAATTTGCTGAAAAGCAACAACATATGAACTGCATTAGCAACAATCTTCAATGGTTGTTTTTTTGATTATGTACAACTTTTCGAAATTTTCAAAAATTTCTTTGTTACTGACTAATAAAAACAAATGGATTGAGAACTAGTGAGACCAGAACAGCAAAAATAAATGATATCACATTTTATTACTCAGAAGGTCACGCATAGAAGGAAGGAAGGTCGTAAGTTAGAACTGTAACACTTAAGGCTGACCTAGCCTGCTAGCAAAGCAAAATGCCTCACGGACAAATAATGTATGGTCGACACTACGGCATATTGTGACAGATTTCCAAATCGACACTTTAAAATTCAAGTGATTTGAGGAATGGATTAAAGTAACAAAGCATTCTTGTATCGGTCCATTTCAAAATAACAAAATGAATGAAAAGTAATAAATAAATTTTAAAGATTCTTATTCATTTTCTCGCCACTAACGTAAGGATATTCAGTGAACACTTTTTAACATACTGATTAAATCAAGCACTATCATATCCCAATTTTTCAATTAATGTCCTTCTTTTTCATTAGAAAAAAAATAATTATTGCTAAGATTATTCATCCTTGTTTAATAATAATAGCTTTAATAATATACTTGGTAAAAATAAAAAACAGTAAAAGTGTAACATTTTCAAGGAATTTAAAGCAGAAGAGATTGCTAGGAATGTGAACATCTTATGAGACTATCATTAAAATGAAATTACGACATCCGTAAACGATTAATTCGATATATTAAAGTTCATTCTTTCAGTGTGAATACAGCTTTTAGGACTTTTAGAATCTTTAAAAAAAATTATCATCCAAGATGTTGTGAGAAAAAGTGCTTTTTCTTTAAATTGTATTCTTTCGCACAAATTTTGTTTAAAATTTCTTTCTTACAACAGGTCAACGTTCCAAACTCTGAAGAGTATCAGTCGACTAACACGGCATTTCCGGTTTTTCAACAACAGTCTATCCAGAATGAATATCAAGGTTTTATTTTCAATTTTTCATGCATAATTTTTGACAAAGTAGTCTATTTAATTACTATCTTTTATTCATCTTTATATTTATTTATATTTTTATTTATCGATTTGCATGCCCATATTTGGTCTTTGTTATAAGTTTTACTAAAGAAAGAACAAATCCAATTTCCCTCTACCAGTATACGCTCCTATACCATTTCTTCTGAACACTCTTCTCTCTTCCGATGCAAAATGAAATAGTATAATAGTGATTGTCGTTGTCTTTTTTGAAAATTAAAAAAGTATAATCAAATTTCAAGAGTCTTATGACTCGACTATCCACAATCAAAGCATTAAGTCATTTTTATCTAAGCTTAAGACTTTTCCAGGCGTCTTTCTTAAAAGTTTTACTATAAGTTTTTCATTTTTTCGCTCAACAATTCCCGTTTTCGACTAACAACAATGTATTTATGTGGATATATTTTTAAAAAACCACACGTCATCTTCATTCTGACTTTATCATATTCATTTCATCGATAAAATTTTCTCTGAAATTTTTGTGATTTTGAAACAGATTTTAATTCTTAAATCAAGGTTAATTTTTACAACAGTCTTTAAAATACTTGATAAGTTAAATTACTTTTTACACTTAAGTCTTTTCAAATAACCAATTAACAAAGTTTTGCTTTCGAAAAATGAAGAAAAAGATACTAATGCAAACAATTGTGTGCATTCTCCGCCTTTTCACTATAAGTAATGAATAGACAACAGCTGTTCAAATGAATGATTAATTGTTTGCAACAATTCAATCACTCAATCATACCCATTTGCTTGACATCACTCCTCTAACAAAAATAATTCTTATAATTACACTCAAATTCTTTTCATCTTATTCAGTACGAGAATTCTCTGATCTCCTTTGCTGCTCTATTTGAGCTGCTGTTCAGAAAACAAAATATCTACTACCAAAGCTTTATTACCACAGAGTTCAATAATGTCCAATGCTTCACGTGTCATTTGTACTAGTTAATCACGTTAGACAACTAATTACGATCACTTTATAATATTAACAAGTAATGATTTTTCTCTTCAGTCCTTCTTTATCAATGATTTTTTTTAACATTTGTCATAAAAGAAAGTAAAGAGATAAAAGGAATTTGGCAAGTCACCCAGGAAACTATTACTGTTGATATTTGTGGATGACAAGCTTATCTGGCTGTATCTTTATGAAAATCAATAAGGCGTGTGATAAAAGACTACTTATATATTTTACTCTCCGAAAGGATAATGATCTCACAGGGTAATGACTTTAGAGAAGAATTGCAGACTGCAAACTTTTAACATTCCAACTAATTTTACCAGTCTTAGATCTCACTATAAATCGTGGAGAAAAGATAACCAAACATGATTATTAGTGAAAATCTCTTCAGCAGTAAGATTTCCTCAATGTCCTAAAAATCACGAATCAAAAAATCATGAATTTATTTTTCGGGCATCGTCATCTTACTAGGTAATCTGACTAGCATATTTCAGATTTCCACAAGATAAGCAAAAAAAAGGCCTAAAAAAGAAGGCATGCCTTTCTTAGCATCTCTAACTCGGAATTCTTAACTACTTTCAGGACAAAACTATGCTTACCTAAAGATGGAATTCTGAACACTGTCATAAAGTTTTTTAGGAGTAGTGGGACTGTCATGAAAATATTAAGTGCATATAAAATAAGAAAGAAATAAAAAAAAAATGCAAAAATTTCTCAGGAAGTGAGGTGTAATACACGAATGAAGGGTTGGAACAAATTCAAACATGGTAGCATTATTTTTACTTCTTGAGGCTATTGAAAAGAAAGATTAATAAGCTTGTCATATCTTTTCCGTTTATTTCTTATTAATTTCTGCTACAAAGCATTCACTGAAATTTGTAAATAAAAGACAAAAGGAAGAGAGAAATTGCTGATTTTCAACAGTTCCAAATATAACGGAAGTTTCGAACCGATGAAAAAGCAGTAGAACTTGCAATAAGATCGTAATTTGAAAGATAAATTCTGATCAGATGATAAAGATGATTGTGATTCAGGAAATTTTTGCTTTTTAATCTACCGCAAATAGTTCATATTGTCACTAATTCATTTTGGTCATTCCAATAAAGTTTAGTTTTTTCTTCCAGCGAAGCCATTCGAAATAAATGGTCACAGAGTTTTTATTTGAAATCTTACTATACTAGCAAATTATTGAAAAACACTTACATATATGTGTATCGAAATTTTCTCAGTATTTTTTCAAAGTATCTCTCAGTTTCCACATATCTCTTAATGGATAGAGATATATTCATCAATTTTCCATGATTATATTCCTTTCAGCCTATTTTCTTTTGCTATAATTAGTCCTCATTGTCAAACTATGATCGGCTTTGATTTTATAAAAGTAAAAGTTTATTCAGTCAAAGTTATTTGTAGGTTTTGTTAAGAAATATGGTTAGAAAAATATATAGTCGAATTACCAGTGCATCAAAATTCAGTAGTATTATAAAATGTCTTTTTTCCTGATTCCTCAAAGTGACACTTCTTTTTGCTTTCTGCAACAGCATAATGGATGTATTTTTCGTTTCTTCAGGAAAAGAAAAAATAATTTCAATAAATGCACTTTATTTTGTCAGCAAGTGTTAGTGCCTATTCGTTTATATATGCTTCCGATTTTTTTAACTGGATGCTCATTTTATAAAAAACGGCAAGGATTCTTAAAAACAATCTGTGAAGCGTTGGAAAAAACTCGCTTTTTGAGATGCTAATAAATTTCTTTACCGTTGAATGCATTGAGAATTCTTGTATTTTAAACCCTTTCAATATCACATGCCATTTAGTGCTAAATTGGAAGAACAGATAAAATTTAGTACCTAAGTCAATATTTTTAAACTAATCCTTTTATAGATAAATCTCCTCCTTTCCTTAATAATGAAAATATTATTAGTTTACGAAAACAACAAACAAGACAAAATTACCAGTAATTCGAACTTCCATGGGAATATTTAATGTAATATGTTTCTATATGAAACTTTTTATTCCATGCAGAAAAAATATTTAAGCGAATTTGCCAAATCATTTTGTTGCCACCGAATGTTAGCATCAATCTCGCCTGTTCTTCTCTTATCCAAGCAGTATTTTTATTTTCTTCTTTAAATAAATATCTCAGATAAAATATTCTTCATTAATCCAAATATTTTCGCAGTGATTTCTCAGAAAAAATTTGGGTTGCAGATTTATTTTGGAATAGAGGAATGGTGAGTGAATGAAATCCGGCACATCATACTAAGGTCAATCATCAAACGGTCATCTTTATAGTTATTGAGCTTTAATTCTTTCGGAATGACATTTTTTGTCATGTGAAACTAGAAAAATGAAACCTGTGCAACTCAATAACTCTAGACAGATTTGTTGCATGCATGCATGCTTCATGGAATTTACAAACCTAAAATAATTATACATAATCAATCAAATGTCACCATTTTAACTGCAATTTCGGATTGAAACACAACTTTCTTGATGTTCTTTAACAAGTGCTCATTTGACAGTGTGTTTCATGAAACGCCTAGTGTTTTAAACTTTGTTTTGTAACTACGATGATATAGCATGAATTTCAACTGTTAATTTGTTGGTTCAATTAAATATGTCGTATGTGCATTTGGTGATTTCGAACATCTGATTTATAAATAAATTTGCAGAACAGAATCAGAGTCATTCGACGGAAGTAGCAGATAACGACACCTTGCTATCATCACCAAGCAATGGGATTTATCTATCTCCAGACAATGATTCTCGACGTGATAGTGTTCGGAGCATGAGCGTTATCGGTGATAATGGAATACGTATAAAGCAAAATATCAGACGTAATGGTACACTTCCAAATTTATCAAAAGGTTCACATTTCTGTTTTATGCTTTTCCAGTATAATTGCTGCTTTTTCATTTAAGTTTATCAATTTTTGAATCAACAGCTTTCCTTAATTTCTCGTACGTCTTGATTATTGAAGTCATTATAACTAATCCTCTGTGATCTTTTGAATATTTTAATCTTCTTCAAGGTTCCAATTTACTTCTATAATGTCTTAGTTGTGAGGTCATGTTTACATTCCTGAAAAGAAAGAACAGTAACGTGATGAAATTAAGCGGTATTCTTGGTTATTACATCTCGAAAATATTTCATAATTGTGCTTTGAACAATAATGGATAATATCATTAATTTGAGCGAAATTCGTATAGAGAGAATTCGAGAATAAATTCTACGTAAATAATTAAGTCCAGGATCAAATAGTTTTCTTTATCACTTCGGTCTGAGCACTTTTTCTGATTTTGTTGTTTTAGCAATTTTTAGTTCTCAAATTTAAAGTTTTAGGAGTTCTGTGGGAATTTTAAGCATAGAATTAATTAAGCAATTAATTAATACGTTGCTGTTCTCACAAAAAGTATTTCAAGAAAATCTCCCAATGAAAGTCAGTTAGTTGTTCTTCACGCTTTCGAAGTTCCGAAATCTCTTTGAGATCAATTCCTTAATTAATGAAACACAGCCATGAAAATATGAAGCATTCTTTTACGAGTTTAATGGCCTGAGAAATGTGTATTTTCATCATAATTTCAACAAATAAATCTGAAGAAATGTCATACCAATTATTCTTTGCATTAATGAAAGAGAACAAAACAAGTTATTTTATTATTTTTCAGACATTAAAAATTTCGAAAATATAGAAGCTTCAATCACGCTAAGAGCAAGAGAGTACATAGAGAGATACTTTTGTTTTTAAAAAGACAAGACTATCTGTCCAGTTAATGCAAACACAAAATTAATACATTTAAATTTTCTAGATTGAAATTTATGGAAAGTCATGAAATACACTGCATTTGCCATTCAAATATATTTTATTGACATGTATGGAAAGTTAAGGATGCAATTCACACTTATAATTTTTTAGCACATTTTAAATGTCTTCGTATACTAATTACAGAAAATTATAAAAACACTAACAAAATATCAATAACATTGATGTGTGGACTGATTAGACGAATGTTTGCTGCAACTTTAAAATAAAATCAAACTTGATCGATTGATCCGTCTTATATCTACTCGAATTGTCAAATATATTACTTGGTATACATTCTTACAGAAAGAAAGAATTTAAAGTTTTTTTTGTGCTGTTCAATTTCAACACTGAGAAAATTTAAAAATTTTTCACAGTCAACACATACTATTTATACATTTTATTCCTTTTCCTATCTTCCATTTTACTTGTTACCTTAACTATTTTTTCCTGATAATAAGATTATCTCCTTTTCTGAAAGTTGCTTTATCCACTCTCATAACACTTTTTGATCGCTTCTGATTTCTTTCAAAAGTATTCATCATATTAATATTTCTTTACTGGAAGATCAAATATTCAATTTCATCCAGAAAAGATGATTCTTTGGGTATTTTCCAGCAGTTGTCCCTTTCAAGAATTCTTATATATATATATTAGATAGTTAAAGTTTCAGGAAGTAGCTTATATTATCTGCTGGGATACTTATTTTTTACTCACTTTGTCTTGGATGAAAAGCTTGAACTAATTTATGCTTGATTATGCTCTTTTATACAGAATTTATCACTATATTTAGTGTTACTGAGCACAGAAAAAATTTTTTAGAAAATCTTAAGTGACAAAATATATGTAATGATGACCTGGGAAATGAAGAAGAATGAAAATTGAGATTTTTGGTTAAATTTCCTTCATTTCTGCTTGTGATTCTACTAAACATACCTCATTTACTAGCAAATTTAATCATTATTATATATTTTATAATGGACAGTTTAACAAAGAATATTTAATTTAGATAAGAATTAATGTCAATATGCCACCAATACAACCATTTCTCATTTCAGGTACTTCATCGCTTACACATCATCAGCCTTTTTTGCATAATTATCTACAGGTACCACAGTCTCGTACATCACAGACAGCTCGATCCAATTCTTCAGTTGCCAGTATGCAGTCGGATTTAGAATCTTGTTTGGGCGATGCACAATTTTCAAACGATCTTATTGAAGGAAAAGCCATCGGTTTGCACTCATTTTTTTCTTCCGTTTTTCCTCAGTTACCAGTGCATTGCTTTTTCCACTGCAGTTTTCATCTCACACCTGTCATGCTTCATCTCAGAGAATGTACAGATGAGATCTTTTAATGAATTATATTGAACAGAATAATTGCTTAAATTCTAGTTCCAGTCGAGTGTTTATGCTGGTGAGAAATATAAATGAATTACTTGTTCGGGTCGAACATAATTAAGATAACTAGCAATTTGTTTTTATCTCTTCTGCTCTTCATTAATATTTTGAAAGACGTTTTTCACAATATTGGCAGCCATACCTTGAAAATGTTTTCATTTATATTGAGGTAAGGAGAAGAAAGAAATCAGGAATTACGTATCAATAATTCATCTTTTTTCTGATGTACTCTTTTACTATTTTTTTTCCAACTTGATTCAATTCCTTTTCATAAAAGATAAAGAGATTAATTTAATCTTTCAACAGTTAATCGTCTTCTCATCTTCTTTTCTAGATAAATTTCTTTAAATTTTTCTGCTTGAAATTTCACCGATCCATCTTTGGTTAGTTGTGTTTCTTGTATTATGAACTAGTAATGAATGTAAGTATAGCGAATTTCATTTGAATCAAAAATTTAAAGATATCCAGTTGCTGAAAATCAATTTATTCAATTCTCTTTACTCCAACTTTTCTTCCTATTCATAACATAGAGCGTCCACATTTAATTGTATTGCGTATTGCTTATTGGGGATGTTTTATTTTCTTCACTTTGCATCACTTAAATGTCACTGGTCATGAAAATAGCTTGACTTCAAATAATTCTGAAAGGAAAAGGAAAGGAAGGCTATTTGCTAAGTACTGATTGCATATCTTTGCTATCGTTCCTCAAGTATCCACTTTGATCCCTTTCAGGGGAACTGATAACGATTAATCTAACTAAAATTCTATAACACCAACGCTCTCTCTCACTTAACTTTCAATCTCTCCATCAGTTTTTTCTTGACAGTTACACTTCCCTTCACAATCTTTCATGTTATCGCCACTTCTATACTGCAAAACAAATAGATCAATCAAGTGATTATCGACAGCTTGCATCATCCATTCAAACATTTTTTCGCATAAACTATTTGATTTGAATCATTTCACTTGTTAAACAACTCTTACTCCATGATAAGTTATTACCTAGTTTGTCAGCTCAAATTTGTATTAGATAGCCATTATCCGCTCTGGCTTATTGCCATTCCTTTCTTGAATTGCAAAGCATTCTACGAGGCTGTTCGTTTCGTTGAAGATATGAAAGGTAAAGAAGTTAGAAGGCTATCTTGTAAACAGTCCTGAGATTGATCATTATAATGTTATAAACCAAACATAATTTTTCGAGAGAAATTAGAAAGATTTTAATGCTTGGTTTTGATTGAATTTAAATCTCAACTTTAAAGATGGTAAAGAAGAACTGAGAAGCATGCTGTTAAATAGTTAAATAGAGGATGAAATATGATGATCATGATGTAAGTATAAACTGAGCAGCAGACAATAAATTTGATGACTGCAATAAATAGACATACAAAAATAAATTAACTCTGTGGAAAGACTTTTAAAACCAAGTTGTGATACTGCTTAAATACAAATTGCTAATTCATCAAGTAATATATTAGAAGGAAATAAAACACTTTCTTCAATCCAAGTATTGTTGCCACTTCACAATTCGCCTTGCACAATTTTTGTTTATTTTTTATAATCTTTTTTACATTAAGAAATTATTTTATAGTAAGGAAGTTCTATATGCAATTTGAGGTTTCGACACTTTAAACTATTTTTACGCAAACAGTGAATTTTTCTCAATAACTTCAAATGTATATCAGAAGTAACGATTAAATTTCTGTGGACATGCGGACGGAGTGGAACAGCTGCGGTTTTGACTGATCAATATCGAAGTACATTCTGCTTCAAACCATATGATCTGGGATGATTTGAGCAAAAACACTGTTAAATTTTCAGCTCTCTTTACTACTTAATTTTCTTTCATTTTTCAAGCATCATTGTTGTGGCATCTTTTATTACTATTCATCTCTGCTTGTGGACTAAAATCCATTAGATTTTTCTCCTCTTTTTTTCTGGTGGGCTAAAATCCATTAAGAGTACTTTTTCTTTTTTCTACTAAACAATGCAAAATGTGCAAATAACAGCGAACATGTTTGTTAGCCATAAACACTTGCGCGAATGTATGTATACTCATGCATATATTTATATCTTGGATTAGCATGCGTATGTGTATTGAGGCTCAAAAAGCTACTGAATAAGAATACATCTGGCCCGAGGGAACAAAACTGAGAGTATGAAGTCAAAAACTGGGAGCGATTGGCTTTCTAGTCGTTGCAATTCATCCAAAAGGTTGTCTGAATATTTCTTTTTCGGTAAAATTCAACAGCTATTTACCCCTTGGGAATGAACTTTTCAAATATTTTTCAAAGCAAAAGCTATAAGGGAAATATCTCATCTAATATGTGTATGTATTTGCTGTTAGTTGATTCCAAGTGCTTTTTGGCAATTTTAAGTTGACAGGCATTTTGATGCACATGAACAACCAATCTTTTCATTGAAATTTCACCGATTTGATACACTTTTTTGCCTCTTCTATCAAGTTTAACTTCTTCATGCTTTTTTGCACTCCTAGTAGAGCAATAACATATCTTACACAATTCATCATTTTGAAATAAAAAGTATATAAATCATAAAATAACGTCGCGGTTATATTTGATGATATGTTGTCTATTTGAATCAATCATTATGAACGGATTTGATTCATTAGCCCCACTTACTTTTCGCTCTATTTACTATTAAGCAGAGCAGATTACCTACCATTAAACTTAACTTTTTAATGATGTGTAATGTATTGTTAATGATGTAATGCATAATTGAGACGAGATCTATGTGCACAAATACTACTTATTCATTCTTTAAAAGAGAACTAGCAAATGATCTTATTAAATGTCATTTATTAAAATCTCAACCAAATGAGTACGAAAGAAACTGGCCTAATGATGCTTAAGGTGTACTTATATATCACTGAGAGAACTGAAAATACTTGGGAAAAACTTGAAACTATCCATAGAAATATATTGTAATTATCTAGCAAATTAGAAATTTTATGGATCACTTTAGTTTTTAAATTGTACACGAACCATAATTATATGCATTTATTGTTTTCAATTTTGCCTTCTTGAAATTTTGCTTTATTTATTTATTTACTTTTTTCAGTAATATGAAAAAGGATGCGATCTAAATAGAAATGACTCCATTAGTGCCACCCATTGAAACTACCAACGTATCCAAACGACCAATGATTCTTATTGGTGGTTTAAAGATATGCTAACTGAACCTTTTTGTTATATATCTATTTTTTCTACTTTTCAAATTGTCTAAATACCTGAGAGCAAAATTTACAAAATTATCAAGTTTTAGGATGAAGAAGGATGTTTTTTTTATTTTTTGACATTTAGTGCAATTAGGTCAAGAGTGATTGTCAAAAACGTGAATCATTATTTTGAAAATTTATGCTATTTCTACAACCAAAATTGTTTGATCATTATTAACCTTCCTAGTAGACAATATAGCATTTTTTTAAACGCATGATGAGTTTCCCTTAGAATCGCCTGTTATATTACTATTAAGATTATCAATGCGATGGCTCTGATATGATTATTTCAAAAGAACTGAGAGCAGCTGCAAACTCATGGTTTTAGTGTCTTTTTATTAAAATTTGATGGTTTTTTTTAGCAGAAAAGATAGGCACAAACATAAATGACAGTTTTTAAATATATTTTTATTAACCATCTCATGGCTTCTTTTATAGCTTTCCATTGTTTCATCCTTCAACTATTCTTCACCATTCAAATCAGTTTTGTTAATGATAAGATTGTTCAATTTGCTTCACATCTGTTTATTTTATATTTTTATCTTAACTTCTTGTTCAGATAAATGTGTAATTTCTCCAACAAATTATCTTAACTTCTTGTTTTCTATTTTCTAGCTGAAGATAATTATTGGAGAAGGGTAGGAGATATTTGTTAAGACTTTGTGTGTTAAAGATTAAATTTCAGCAAAAATAAATTTATGAGAAATAAAATTTTTGATCTAGTTCTTCAGTACGACAAATCTTAAAACAATGACTTCGAAAATCGGTTAAATTTTCTTTTGTTATAGAAAATGAGGCTCATTAATTTGCCTATGACATTTATCTTCACAGTCATTTCTTTTTTCTGTTGACACAATCCCTTTTCGTCCATTTTTCATATCTTCAATAATGGCTCAATAAGCAATATCCCTTTCATTGGCACAGATGCTGCACGTCTCTAACTGCTTGGATAATTTGAAACATGACTGGACTGTTTGTTGACAATTTTCAGCAGGAGGTTGCGTCATTTCTCCAAAGAAATTAAGTCATTCTGCATTGTAAGCATAAATATTGTTTTCTAGCCTAAAAGTTTAAAAGAATAGTGAAGAAGAATTTTTAAATCTTAGCCACGTGTAACTTTTTTCTTCTTTATCCGATAACACCAATTTCATTTTTAACACCTCTATTATTTCAACCAACTCGAATTTTCCACATACGTTTGAATGGCAACAATTTGAGCATCGATCTATTCAGAGAATATCGGAAAGAAAAATTGGTTTATATGCTTGTTTGTACACTTCTGCAAAAATTTATATCTCTTATCACTCATATCAGTCTACATTCCAATAACAAGTAAGAAAGTGCGAGAATCTGGATTAGTACAAATTTGAAAAGATTGAAAGAGAAGGAAAATGGAGTAAATCTAGTCTGGTATTATTTTTGAACATCGGCAAGAAAGTAGCCCAGATAGGTCAAGATATCAGTTTTTGTTACAAGAATATATAGCATTGCTAATAATGATGCATCAGAGCGGAAATCGAATCTAAAAAGGATAAAAATCATTTTTCTACACAAAGCACCTTGTGTCGTTTCTACAAATTTTTAAACTCACTGCCAATAATTTCTTATAATGATTTTTGCGAATCAAAAGGAAGTATAAAGAGAGTAGTACGATTTAACTAAGAAATCTAAACAATAATTTTGACCGATCCATTGTCCTAATGGAAATAATCCCAGTGATTGCCTAATCCGTTTTCACTTTTAGTTAAGGAATATAACAAGACAATGAACATTTTTCGACTTCTCTATTGAAAGGAAATGCTTGGATTATGTAAATCAAAATTATTCATTTTGAAAAGTTCATTTGATTTTCACCAATACTGAATAATTTCAAAGATAATTCCGTAAGAAGGGAGAAAAATGATAGTGAGATAACATCAAATATTGTCCTTTTCACTCGTTGAGTAGGCATATGAATATGTAAAATTGTCTAGATCTGCATTTTTTCAACGTTCCATTTCAAAAACATACTGCACTTCATCTATTCTTCATAACCCTGCTTCTATAATAATCTAAGAAGCAGCTCAATAAATTCTCTTGGGATCTTTGAGTTTAAATGGTCGACTAACAGCACTTTATAAAATAGCAACAACTTTTGATTTTTATCATTTCATCAAACTATCCTCCTTGTTGTCATCTTTCAACTTGCAACATTCCATTGCCAAATATTGATTCATAGTGATAAGTATTGATCGTGTATTGACTTTTTTCCTTATTAGCCGAACTGAAAATTCAACACCATTTGGAATTATAAAGGGACAATCAAAAAAAAAAGTTAGCTTTCCTTAACTCTCCCATCTTATATCCTTTGCTTTCTCAGAATAATAAGAAAATTCAGCTAATTGAGCAAACGACAAACGGTAAAACGGAAGCTAATTATTTTCTAGCTCCTTAGCGATTCTATTTGCAGAACTTCAGATTTCTTTATAGCCTTTAGATAAAGAAATGAATAACTACTAAATAAGCCATAGAAAGAAGCCGATCTTGTATTTAACAATGGGCAAAGTAGCTGAACCGGAAAGCCTTGCACAATTTCTCTAAGTAAACAAAGTAGTCGGAAGTTCATTTGCCGGGATAAACTACCTTAAAATTAGATATAAGCCCAGCAATGGAACAGGAAAATAAAAAAATTCATATAACTTCTTTCCTTCTTTTACCCCTTGGACCACTGTCCTTTTTTTCAGTGTTATAATCAGGTTTTCTTCCTCTTTTATACTTACATAAGCTTAAGGATGAGAAAGCAGAAGAAAATGGAAAGTAATGATGAAGGAAACAATGCTGTCATCAGAGCTGGAACTTTCTGCTTTCAAAATTTCAGCTTTCTGACTGATATTTATCAGTTCTATCATTGAATGATGGTTATGCAATTATCTTACGGTAACCTGTTATATTAAGCTTAGGAAAGAACCAACCTTTCTCCTTCCCACCACAATTCTTACTTCACTTTCTTTCTTCTTCTTATCCATGTCAATTTAATTTAGGAGCAGTAATCTTAGCTACTAATCAGTGCATATCATTTTCTAGGAAAACACAGAGAGAAGAACCATGTACAAGCAGTTGTTTTGTTGATAGATGCTATTGATGTGCTCGACAATATAGTTAGTAGTAGTCTTGTAAAAGAGAGATCTATTTTCTAGTTCACTCTTTTTTACTTTGTCTTCTGAATTATACTTATTTGTTATCGTTTTCCTCCCACAGTTCATTTCCAAATTTTAATACTGTTCCTTTTTGTGAGTAGTTAATCCTCAACTCATTATGATAAATAATTAGTCTTTTACCTACATAGACCCGAAGAATGAACTTCAGTGCTCTTCTAACTTGTTGCTTATTCCCGAGTGGCTTATTCCCATACTGCGCTTATCTCACATTTTTTAAAATCAAATTCAAGCTAACTTAGAAATACGGATACTGCTGTAATTAATAATGATTACCCGTTTGCAGTAAATGGAAAGACGAAGAAAGACGTAAAAAGAGTAATGAAACTTGAAAAATCATTGCGATGAGACTAAATGGCCACTTGAGAATAAACAGAAAACTTTTTACTTAATTTTGCAGGATCTAGAGATCAGTATATGCAACTGATACAGAAAATAATTTTTTTGCGATGAAAAAGATCTGATGAAAAACGCCAAGCACTTCGCCAATCACACTTCAAGGCATTTCGGAGAATCTATGAATTTATTTCTCCTTTCGGTTTATTAAGAATTCTCAGAAGTCAATAAGTTAAATAATTGTGCATTGAGCTAATTTGTGAAATTTTTTCTTCCAATTGGATTCTCATTTTCCTTAATCTTGACATTTTCACTTTTTTGAACTAATTTGAATCCATTTAACAGGTTTACATTCTTGACTCATTCAAGGAATTTCAATGGTTTTTTTAAACTTTGATTCCGAATTTTATCTCTTCTTCAACTATTTTCCTCCAATATCAATGCAAAAAGTAAAATTTATTTTCATGCTGTACATTATTTCATTTTTAATTCAGTTTTCCTTTTTGAAATTCACCATCTCTTCTACTTGCGACTGCTCCATCCTTATCCATTTGATAAATAGCTTTGGCAAAGCAGAAACTAAGAACCCCAAATTTTTTTATAATTTAACGAAGCTTAAGTTAAGTGAAAAATTATGTATAGATGATGAAAAACTAAAAGCATAAAATTTTAAGACGCTAACTGAAATGCTGCTATCGTAATTCTAAAACTTATTTAAATGGGAAACCATGCAATTTACTCCTTTCTGGGTTCTTTTTCGTAAAATCATTCTTAAAATCAAAGTAAATCTCCTAAAAGTTTGGTAAACTTATTAAGCTGAATTACATATACCGCTTAGGTATATTTCTTTAGAATTTGATGAAAACAAAGACACGCTTTTACATGTGGCTCTTTGAGGATCCCTTTTCGATTTTTCGTTGGCAAACACCACTTGGCTTCTCGAGCTGCAGCTCAATATTCCATGTTTTCTCTTTGTAAGGCTCATTCAGCTAGACATTTATGTTTGTTCATCCATTCCACATAAAAAGGGAAAGCAACCAAGCATTCGCTTTCTTCTGAAATTTTACTTGTTTTTGAAAAGAATTTGAATTAAAGCTTAGCAGTAAAATATTTACTTTCACCAATAATACTTATAGAAATTAATACCGCACTTCCATTATTCAATCCTTTCTTTCCAAGTCTCAAAGTATGCCTCAAAGTATAATATTGAAAATATTAGTATTGATAAAAAAAATGTATTAATTCAATATAAATAAGCTTTAAAACATGAATGTTTCTAGGAACAGTGGAATATCACGCTTTCAAATTGTTACGCAATTCTTGTTTTATTTGTGGAAAAATAGATAATATTTTTAGAATAGTTGCAGTTGAAGTTATTTTCTGAATTTCAATAAAAGAAGAAAGGTGAATAAAAAGCGGCGTGAATGGGAGCAATGAGAGAACAAAAGAATTACTACCTTGTCAACTTTTGTCAGCTATTTTCATTTCATGAGAAATTAAAACTGTTAAAGATATTTTCCTTGAATTTTCATTCAAGAAAATCAACCAATAGCGGTCGTAAAAAATTTGATTTACAATTGTTTCTTGATATAAGTAATGAGGAATTCAGAGATTTTGTGCAGAGTATAAAGCGTATATTCTCGCCAATCCTTCTGCACATGTCAACTGGCACCTCCTCTGATGTGTTGAACAATTTGCTAGTTAGTTTCACGCGTCCACGCAGCATCCTCCCTCTCTTCTCTTTTTAGAATCACTGGGCTCAAATCTTGTTTACTTATTTTCGATTGTTTGATTACTGACCTATTAAAGATATCACCAATTTCTATCTGCACATAATAACAATGCTATTTTTATAAATTTTTTACGCACTGCCAAACTCAAAATTAATTGTTCTTTCTTTTTTGTTCATTTGTAGATACTTTATTTCATTTTACAATTCACTGATTTCCTTTTGACTTCTGCAGAAATTTTTTGACCTCCAGGACTCAATTAACAAACGTAACATCCAGGTATATGGTTCTGAAATTATGAATGGTGCTGATCCATTTCGCTGAAAAAATGATACAAGCTATCTGACGCTCTATGTTCGCATTTGGCTAATTCAATTTTCGAAATACATATTTGTAGTTTCAGTGAAAAATGGAAAAAGCCGTGATTCGAATGAATTTTATTTGAGTGCGAACATATTTACGCCTGTTCCGTAAAATGGTCTGCTTGCGGTTGTTCATGTAATTTAAAAATATGTAAAAACTAATTTTACACGATGTCAACAACTCCGACTGACGAAAAAAAATTGTTACCAGACAAAAGGATCCGTTCTCGATCGCTAAAACACAGTTGTGGCAGTGAGGATTGCAGTGGTACAATAACTTCGCTGCCACTTGAAATGCCTTCCTTGAATCCAAAAAAACGTGTTGAATCAATACAATCTCGACCATTTATCCCAATATCTAATCGGATACCACTAGCTCAAACACTAGCTCATCGGAAATTGCGTAAATATGCCAGTGAAACGAACTTCCCACTGGAAGCCAGCAGTTCTTCAGACCTATTATTGAAAGAGAAAGACCAGAAGACAGCCATCGGTAAACACAAAATATTTTCCGTGCGACCTGTTAAAACCGCTGATAGTGGTACGCTAATTCGGGATGGTAGCGTTCCGTGTTCTCAACATGTTAAGCGTGAAGATTCAGAGGGTGAAGCAAGCTGCTCCGGCAGTGATGCAACTTTGGCCAGCATGTCAATGACTCCAATTTTACGGCAGAAATCTCGGCGATCCCGTCTTAATCGGCCGAAAAGTTCAACATATATGTACGGGACATCTATTTCCTCGGATGCTTATAATACTCCGACATCTGCCACACTACCATCCGTTGATTCCTTGCAACAAATCGGACTGGGAATGGCAGGAAGCATGGAAGAACGTCGAGAAAGTAGTTTTTACAATATAGATGATGACAGTTTACACGAATTCGACGATGAAAAAGGTAACTTATTTAAAATAATTCAATATTTTTAATTCGAAAAATCCGCTGAGAAATTCTTTATTTCTCGATATTTTTCCTCTTGATTTTCCTATTGCCTTTTCAAGCTTTAACATTTGGGTAATAAATCTGTTAATTATCTGAAATTATCTGAAAATTAAAAAAAATGGAAAAACTTCTATCTTACATTAGTGACGGGTCTAAAAGCGGTTGAACGGAAACTGAAAACAATTTTTTAAAAAAACTGAGTTTACAGTAAAAATATTTACTAATTTAAATTAATTTATGTAATTCATGCAGTTTTGAGGAAAGGAATGCATTCAATATGTCATGGACCATAAAATTTCCTTGTTTGATTTCTCTATTAAATAAACTTGTTAATGAACCTGCGCATTCAATGCATAGAAGGTTGCTGGACAAATTAATTTTTCTACTGAAAACATTCACACAAGACTTTCTTTATATTGTTTGGATGTTTTGGTCTAGACCAAGAAGTCAGAATTAGATATATGTTGCTGTTTGTTTGTAAAGCTTCTAAAAGAAAAATTTTTCATGACATTTCAAGTATTATCAATAAGGATTGGAATGGATTAACTTAAGGATCCGGTATGCTGGATTACATGTTTGTTTTCAAGACAAGATAAGTTGAAATTTGAGGACTTTCTAAGTCTTTATCAACATCTCAGTAATCATGCCTTGATCTTTTTGCCCTGAACTTTTGTTTTTCATAAACTCAAAAATTCAAAAGTTTTTTTTTTTAACATTTGGACATGCTTTTTTTAACCCGTTGTTTGCATTTAAGGAAGGATAGAAATTGCATTTAAGGAAGGATAGAAATCGGTTAAAAAATAAAAATTTAAACAGAATTGGTTGATTATGAAAAAGATAGAAAACTTTTGTCAGGAATCTTTGATATAGCCAAAGGGTAATGTTTTATCTTAAAACTAAAGGGAAATACAAGGAGAGGGAGAAAGATACCTGAAAATATATTTTTGTATTCAAAATATTTCAGTTCGAATATATAACAGAATACCTTATGATTATACATAAATGATATAGTATGACCGACCTATAGATTAAATATCCTTCCATTTTAAAATTTGTAGGCATTTTGTCCACCTTAATGACTTCCATCATTTCATTTTAATCATCATTCTTTTTTGTATTTCTATTTTAATTTGCAGTGTTAGGAATTAGATAATTTATGGTTCCTTTAATATCAGCCTTCATTGGTTGGTATGTTCGCACACTTGAACATTTATCTGAGAACATTCAATTTTAAAAATTAAAAAACAGTATTCCATTGTTGAAGATGTAAACTGTATATATGGGCAGCGACTTTCCAAACTTATTCAAATTAATCAAGATTGTTTGAAAACATAATTAGTTTTGTCGGTTTGGGACAAAAACTATAAATGCAAATGAAGAAATCGGGGATTGGAATTCATATGAAAAATAAAACTCTTTTTGTGAGCATGAAGGACTATGATAAAGCTTATGAGATTGATTAATAATTGCTTGTGTTATATAAAAACGATTTTTTGTCAGAATTGATTAATTAGTTTTTTTTGCATAGTTCGTCTTATTAAATCTTAAGGTCCTCTGAAATTCGAAAGTTTCAGGGAATTGAAGTTGAATGAAATGCATTCTAACCAGATAAAAATCACTTTTTTTCAAAGTTAATACATAAAAAGTAGCTTCCTACTGCCTAAATCACTTGTCATAATATTTAAAGTTCAAAAAATCATTGTAGCTCGAAGGAATGAATTTGATAGTTTCGAGCAGACTGAACTTTCTAGCTCAAACAATTAAAATAATTTAAATACTCAGTAACGACAAAAAACTTAGGTAATTTTCAATGATTTAGCCTAAGCCCATGACTTCGAAACACATTTAAAGCATCTGTGTATTCAGCACTTGATGAGCATTCAGGAAATCGCTTTTTTCAATTCATAACTTAGATTCGCGTGAGTGTCACAAAAATTAGCAAAAGCTCTGTTGGTAGAGTGAAATAATTTACCTTGAATTATCAGTTTTTAAGGTTGATAGAGATATGGACAGAAATTCTAGGAAAATTAATTTTTGGTCAACATTTAGGGTCATTAAAAGATCAATGTTTCAACACTAAAATATTGTGAATAGTTACTGTTCATTTTTTATTCTTCTCATCTTTTCCATCTATTAAAAACAATTATAATTTATTAATTGTATGTGTATCTGTCTCTTAAGCTTACTTAATTTCGATAAAAATGTATGATAAGAAGAGTGAAGAAGGCTTCGTTGCCACTATCGATAGAATAAGCGCTTAAAAGTGCTTGAATGTCTCTTCGAATCAAATTCTATAATAAAAAAGCAATGCAGCAGTATTTTTTCCGTTTCATTTCAGAAGAAGTATTCCTGCCAACAATTTCATTTCTGCTTATTGCACTTTCCACTCAATTCATCTTCGAAACTATTTGATCCTTTATTTCTGTTTCTTGAGATAATAATTTTCACTTCTCCTTTGTCCTAGCTTAGTTTGTCTTTTCAAACTTTTTTTTTTTTTTTTGTCTATGAATGAAGAAAAAAGAATGAGACGAATCTCCTTTTATAGTATTTTCCCGCAGCGATGAACTATAGCGAAGTTTTAGAGCCAAATTAGATTTGAAATCATTTATCAAAGTAATGTACTTCGTTTAAAATCCTCTCCACCTCTTTTTTCATTTTCTGTAATCTGTCATCTGCAGACTGTTTGGAGAAATCGTGTCAGTGCTTGCAAGATTGAAAAAAAAACTCCATTGAGGATTCGCAAATAACACAGTGATCATAAACATCCAAATGTTGACACGTTTCTGATATGCGAAATAACAAAGGATACAGGGGGAAAAAGTTTGTTTCTCGATGTTTAGTGAAAAAAGATACTGCAAACATTTAAAGTAATAAATTAAGAACAATTGCTTTAGAGTGATGAATTTAATTAAATTAACAAATCATATCAATTTATCTGTTTTTTATAGAGAACTATAAATTAAAACTTCTCGTTTATTTTACAATATTAAATTATATTACATTTATCAAGCACTAATCACTAACTCTAATAATAGGTTTTATAATAATTCTGAAAAATATCTTATTATTTCTTTCCTTTCAAGGATGTGCATAATTATATTTTATCACTTAATTACTTCAAATCGGTGCAACTGGTCCAGTCCAGCCAATGAAATTGTGAGATATAGAGATTTTAGGAAGCTGAACTAAATTTGATTTAAATTTTTAATCAAATTAAGGAAGAACTATAGTAATAACTCACAATAATAGAATAATAGATGAAAGAGGTTGAAAAAATTAAAATAGAGGAAGCGTTATTACTCCAGTGATCATTTTAAATTGCTACAACAATTCTTAAAGATATTCAGAAATTTATCAATGCTTTATTTGTACTTAATCAATTATCTACGTATATAATTACTGTCTAATTTTAATTAATCATTACTTTAAATTTATTGTTACTCTCATTATAGGCAACAATGTGCATCACATTCTGCTAAGATTGTTAAGAAACTATTAAAAGTTTAATATAATTAAAATGTCATAACCAAACCAGTATTGAATGCCTTGAATACTAAGTAGACGAATCAATAAAAATCTTATTTACCGCTCGAATATGAGGCTTATTCTAGTATCATCATTTAAATGCAAAGGTTTCCTTCACTTTTCTCTTCTCCCGCAGTTGGTTCATACACAGACGAAGATTCACTTCCCACGTGTTACTTTTCAGATTGATCAGATTCACTTCTCACGTGTTATTTTTCAGATTGATCAGATTCACTTCTCACGTGTTACTTTTCAGATTGATCAGATTCACTTCTCACGTGTTATTTTTCAGATTGATCAGATTCACTTCTCACGTGTTACTTTTCAGATTGATCTTCTCTAGAAATAGTTCCCTTTTGCTTCATCCATGCATTGTGATCTGTTATCTGAAATGGATCATTTTGTTCATCATTTCATTACATTTTGAACTTTCCGATGGGACATGAAATTCAGCCTTTTGCTAAAGCTTGGTCATCCAAAATTTTGACTTATAAGACTGATAATATTGACTGAAATGTCAGAATATTACGGCTACTGATAAAAAACGTGGGCGATCATCTTCAAGTTTTTTCTATAAGCAAAATCGAAGTGATTAGTAATTGGCTAGAAGGAATGCACATCTACTTGGCTACTTCGGTATACCTATTTAGCTACTATGGTACAAAGTAGTATTTAGTATCGAGAAGAATATTTTTTACGTTGATTTGACCATTTCCAAATTATTTCTGGAATATGCTTGGAAGCTTTTTCATTTTGAATAATAATTAAATTTGCTTTCTTTTATTGATCTTGGATATTAGTCATTTTAAATTTGTATTTTTTTGCTTTTATCTTGATCGTTCAAGCATGCATCCTTTGTCCGGCGGATTTATATTTAGTGATATATAACTTTGTTGAAATGTTGGACATGACCTTTTCATGAATAAGTTAAATCGTTAGCTCCGAATCACTTAGCTGTAACAATGTAACAATAGTGTTTGATTTCTGCAGTAAGACTTTGGAATTTTTTGGTTTAAAAAGACGTCTTTTCTCCCTCGTATTTCAATTACCTTCTTTGGATTGCATACACACACACACACACACACACACTCAAAACTTAATATCATAATGTTAATATCCACAATGTCATTTCAATGTCTTTTTATTTATTTTCCAACAAATACACAGAAAAAGAAAAATAAAAAAAAATCAACCACACTTTCTCTACGCTTCTTTTTTCAAATATTTTAACCAATTACTTTTGACTGACCCAAAACGATCGTGTAAGCTTCATTTATTTCAACATACATCTATAATTTGAGATTATATTTATAATATTGTTGAATGTCCTATCAGTCATTTACAGGAAAATAAAGGAAAAATCAGTTACACTTTCAAAATAAGTATAATTTGTCAATTAATTTGTTAGTTAAACATACAACATATTAGTA